CCAAACCCACTGCCATCGAGTCAATTCCAACTTATAGCGACCCTATTAGGACAGAGTAAAATTACTCTATAGGGTTTCTAAGGAGCGGCTGGTGGATTCAAACTACCAACCTTTTGCTTAGCAGCTGAGCTCTTAACCACTGCGCCACAAGGGCTCCATTGAGCCACCCAAAATAAAAAACCAAACCGACTACCGTCAAGTCGATTCCGACTCATAGCGGCCTCATAGGGTTTCCAAGGCTGTAAATCTCTACGAAAGCAGACTGCTACATCTTTTGGAGCCACTGGTGGTTTAGGACTGCCGACTTTTCAGTTAGCAGCCAATCTCTTTAACCACAGTGCCACCAGGGCTCATTGAGCCACCAGGGTTCCTCAATCTACAGGTAACCTGTTGCCGTCGAGTCAATTCCGACTCATAGTGGCCCTATAGAACAGAGTAGAACTGCCCTGTAGGGTTTCCAGGGAGCACCTGGTGGATTCGAACTGCCAACCTTTTGATTAGCAGCTGAACTCTTAACCACTACGCCACCAGGGTTTCCAGTCTATGGGTAGTCAGTCTATTTATGCATTCAGCATGGACTGATGGAGCACCTATTAACTTCTGGGCACTGTGTTAACCAAATCTATTGCCATCAAGTGAATTCTGACTCATACTGACCCTATAAGACAAAGTAGAACTGCCCCATAGGGTTTCCAAGGCTGTAAATCTTTATGGAAGCATCTGTCTCCCGTGGAGCAGCTGTTGGGTTCGAATCTCCAGCCTTTTGGTTAGCAGCCAAGCACTTAACCACTGTGCCACCGGGGCTCCTGCTAGGCCCTGGGATGTAATGATGAACAGAAAACTCTTTGGCCCTCTGAGAGCTTATTGTCTAGGAGGGAAGGCAACAGAAGAATAGGCAATTACAGAAGAATGTGATGAGTACCAAAACAGGGAAGTGCACAGAGTACCTCAGAGGGACATCTAACTAGCTTTGCTTTTGGTGATCTGCATGTGGTGATGACTAAACTGTGTTCTGGAGGATTAGATAAGAGCTGGCCAGAGGAGGGAGCATTTGGTGGGAAGAGATCCATTGCTCTGGACAGAGGATAGCAGCCTTTCTTTAGGCTTGGCGAGATAGAGGAACCCCGTGTGCCCAGAGCTGTGGGTAAGGTCCCCCATTATCCACTTCTTTTCTTTTGGTTTTATGAGCCTCATCTCAAAGATTGTAATCTTCTAAAGATATAAATTATATCTATTAATATTATATCCTCCACAACTGCTGAGAAAACGATGTGTTCACAAGTGTTTAATAAATATATTAAAGCTAGAATCACATGAATTAGACATAGAGCAAATGAATTAAATTCATATTTAGGAACTTCTTTAATAGAATGTTGATTCTTTAAAGGAAACCCTGGTGGCGTAGTGGTTAAGAGCTATGGCTGCTAACCAAAAGGTTGCAGCTGGAATCCACCAGGCGCTCCTTGGAAACCCTGTAGAGCAGTTCTACTCTGTCCTATAGGGTCGCTATGAGTCGGAATCGACTCAACAGCAACGGGTTTGATTTTGATTCTTTAAAATGAAAATAGAAAATTATTTCAAAAATAATGTTAGTTGTAAAAAAATGAGGTAGTAAATATGTTTTATGATTTTTATATTATGATATATTTTGCTATACAGAATTTTAAAAGATATTTCTGGTTAATGATGGCAGAGTTCTGACAACTCTGTCCTCTCTTCACTCTAAATCAACTAAAAAGAATAAGGAGAATGAGCAACAGAAAGGAAACCCAATCGTTGGTAACCACCATAACTCTGTCATCAGAGTGTATGTTTAAGTGCTATTAAGTGCAGTGAAAATTGAACTAGGGCACGTGAGGATATCAAGAAAGGATGATTTCCTCCATAGAACTCAGGCAAAGTGTAGGGGGAGGAGCTTTATCCCAAGTAGCTGGCACATCTGAGGACCAAACCAATAACCCCCATGCTTTGGAATGGCAAAGCTGGACATGTGCATTGTGTTCCCTGAGTGGCAGAAGAGGTGATGCTGAATGACGAACTGTGTGGTCATACCATTTTTGCAAGAAAGTCAGAATGGAGGAGAAACTGGCAGTAAGCGGCCTTAACACCTGCTGATCTTGGTTAGCTGAAGAGAAGTAAAGCCTAAATTACCATCTCTCCAAATCTATGCCATATGGGCCCTTGTGAATCAGAGAGGCTGGTCCACCGTGGAGTCATACCTCTAGGAAGAGTGTTGGTGATAAACATTTTCAGAAATAGCAGGGCAGGTGAAAATTATGAACAAATAGTTCCTTATTGGAGAGGGGGAATGTGTGTGTGTGGGAAGAAGACATGGCCTCTGAAAAAAGATTCTAAAGGTGAAATACAAAAGCTCTAGAAATAAATGGTACGACAACAGAAGGAGGTAAGAATGAACTAACTGAATGATGGAACCAGGATACAAAATGAAAGAGAAAAATACAGTCGTTACAGAAATGAAGGTTACTTTCAAAGCAGCAGATATACACTACAGCTGGGGATAATAGAGCCAAGCTTGAGAAATTTGAGCAGTTCAAAATGGAAAGAATAAAAATTAAGAAAGACTAGTGAGAGAGTGATACATATGGAATACAGTAAACCTAGCGTACCAATAACTGGTATCTCTGAAGAAAAGAACAGAATAAATTGGCAGAAAATTTTTTCAAGACTTTAAAGAAGAGTCTCTCACAGTAAAAGAAGACTTGAAGTTCTAGAACAGTTTCTAGTCTTTAAATTGTTGTTGTAAAGTGCTGTTGTTGATTCTGACTCATAGTGACCCTATATGACGGAGTAGAACTGTGCCATAGTATTTCTTAGATTGTAATCTTTATGGGAACAAATCACCAGGTGTTTTCTCTTGAAGAGCAGCTGGTGAGTTCAAACTACCGACCTTTTGGTTAGCAACCAAGGGGTTAAATGTTGCACTACCAGCTCCTTAGCAATGACATGTCGTGGTGGTGTTGTGTGCCATCGAGCCAATTCTGAGTCATAGTGGCCCTATAGGACAGAGTATGACTGCCTCGTAGGGTTTCCTAGGCTATAATCTTTATGGGAGCACATCACCAGGTCTTTCTCCCATGGAGCTGCTTGTGAGTTTGAACCACCAACCTTTTGGTTAATAGCTCAGCATATAACTGTTGTGCCAATAGGGCTCCTTAGTAATGACATAGTGGACATTAATGGCGTATATAGTATATCAAACAACATGCTCTGGAAACAATGAATACTCTTTTTAAAGAGTACCTATTAGGCCCGAAAGAAAATCTCAGAGAAATCCAGAAAGTAGAGATAATATAAGCAGATTATATTCTCTATTCTTAACTGGAACTATAGAACAAAGGACAGCATAAACCTTTATCACCTGAAAAATTAAACAACCCTTTGATCAAAGGAGAAATTAAAAAATCAGAAAACACTGATAATAAAAATTCCGCATATTAGTACTTATGGGATATGGCTAAAGCAGTAGTCAGGAAAATTTATAGTTTTAAATAAATTACTAAAGAAAAGAATTCAACCCAAGAAGTTAGAAAAAAATAACAAAATAAAGTGAAAGAAAGCAGAAAGAAGGTATTAGCAAAGTTGAAAGCAGAAATTAATGAATTAGAATACAGAAAAATGAAGATACTAATAAATAAGAGAGATTTATTTTTTTTGGAAAAGTTTGGTAAAAGTATTAAACAGATAAACCTCACCAAACCTAGTCACGAACAAAAGGAGAAGGTACAAATATCACGTGTGTGCACATACACAGAATGTGGGAAATAATCACAGATACTTAGAAAATTTAACATAAGAGGTTTCTGTGTTAACTTCTATGCGGATAAGTTTGAAAGCCTGAACTACTGTGCAAGAAAGCACAAAGCCCAGGCAACCTTTTAAGGAACACGGTAACCACCAAAACCAAAACCACCCATTGCTGTCAAGTTGATTCTGACTCATAACAACCCTGTAGGACAGAGTAGAAATGCCCCATAATTTTTCCAGGGAGCAACTGATAAATTCGAACTGCTGACCTTTTTGGTTAGCAGCCAAGCTCTTAACTACTGTGCCACCAGGGCTCCATGGTAACTAAAATGCTTTTTAAATTATTCAAGAATATCGAAAAAGAGAAATATTTTCCAATTTGTTCTCATTTTTTTAATTGTGTTAAGTATATATATAAGAAAACATCTGTCAGTTCAACAATTTTTACATGTATAGTCCAGTAACATTGATTATATTTATCATATTGTGTAACCATTATCCTTTTCCAAATTTTTCTACCACTATTAACAGAAGCTTAGTGTCCCCTAAGCAGTGATGCCCCTTTTCTCCCTCCCTGCCACCCTTGGTAACTATTAATAAGCTTTGGTCTCTCTCTATTTGTCTATGCCATATAAGTGGGGTCATATAATATTTGTCCTTTTGGGATTGACTTATTTTACTCAGTGTAATGTTTTCAAGGTTCATCCATGTTGTAGCAAGTATCAGAACTTCATTTCTCTTTATGACTGAGTAATATTGCATTGTATGTATATAACACATTCTGTTTATCCATTCATCTGTTGATGGACTTTTAGGTTTGTTTCCACCTTTTGGCTGTTATGAATAGTGCTTCAGTGAACATTGAGTGCAAGTTTCTGTTTGCATTCTTGCATTCAGTTCTTCTGGGTATATACCTAGGATTGGGATTGCGGGGTCATATGATCCAGGTTTAACTTTTTGAGGAACTGCCAAACTGTTTTCCACAGCAGTTGTACCATTTTAGATTCCCACCAGCAGTGTTTGAGGGTTCCGGTTTCTTTACATCCTCACCAAGCCCTGTTATTTTCTTTCTTTGTTTTTCTTTTTATCATAGCCATTCTAGCTGGGGTGACGTGGTATCTCATTGTAGTTTTGATTTGCATCTCCCTAATGACATGGGGTCACCATGAGTTGGAAACGACTTGACAGCAACTAACAGCAACAATGACTAATGATGTTGAGCATCTTATCGTGTGCTTGTTGGCCATTTGTATATCGTCTTTGGTGAAATGTCTATGCAAGACCTTAACCCATTTTTTGATTGGGTTGTTTGTCTTTTTGTTATATTGTAGGAATTCTTTAAATAATCTGAATGTTAAACCCTCCTCAGATATATGGTTTCCAGATCTGTAGGTTTTCTCTTCGTATGTATAGACATTGTTGGAAAATACTTCATATGTATGGACATAGTATAGGCTTCTTTATTCATAAAGATGAACCAATTCTATAAATTACTTTTTTCACTTACTTACATTCAGAGTATTTTTTCCTGAAGTTCGTATAGATTTACTTGAACTAACTAGTGAAAGATTTATGTGTTTGCCAAGCTAATGAACAGGGCATAGAGTGTAAAAATGAAAAACTGTATGGGTTTGCTTTGAAATGTTTCCTGTCCTGAACATCCAGACCTTCAGGACAGCTAAATTTAAATTTTAGTCAAACTTTTCTTTCTTGCATCCTAATAAAGTGAAAAGGGGAAGCTTTTGTTTTTGTTTTGCATTGATATGTGATTAGATATACTTAGTCATGAATGTGATTTTAACTAACCATGCAAATATTTTAAGTGTTTCATTTATTTATTTTTTCCTATTAGAGTAAGTGAAATGTTTCTTAAGGGGAATATAAATTTTCTAACTTTAACTGGCAGGTAGAATACAGTAATAGTAATAAGAATAAAAATTCATGAATAATAGCATCTTCCATTTTTCTAGTGCTTACCATGTACTAGGCACAGTACTTGGTGTGTTACATGTTTTGTATCATTTAATCCTTAGAGCAACCTGATGATAACATAGCTACTATTATTATCCTTATTTTACAGATAAGGAAACTGGGATTCAGAGAGGTTAAATAATTTGTTCAAGGAAGCACACTAAGTGGCAGATTTGGGACTTAAACAACCATGTCTTCTGACTCCTCAAACATTCATTTATCCTGTCATTCACTGGTGTAAGAAATTTCATATCCAGTTCGTTAAAGGAGAGGACATTTCTTGAGTTTTGCTGTAGTGGTTATCTAAGCTGTTCCCTAAGTCATTGGGTAACTTTGGGAGTGTGGAGGAGGGTGGGTTAGACCACATCAGCTCCCTAAGATCCTCACTTCATAAATTATTTAATTCCATTTCAGTATAGACTACATAAACCAAACCAAAACCAAACCTGTTGGTGTCAAGTCGATTCCAACTCCTAGCGACCCTGTAGAGGTAATGAATAGTGTATAATTTCTTCCTTCCATTTTCTTATTATACCTCTGAAGACTCATAAGCCATGATTATTACCCTATTTGGTGCAATCTGGAGAGAACACTGAACTGAATGATGTAAGTGTGGTTGGTAACTAGTCTTTGGATTCAAAATTTTACAGTTTAGATAACATAAGTGTGGGGAATATTAGAAAGAAGAAAAGCATTTTTTAAAGCAAGAATTTGCTCTTCCTTTGTATTTCATAGAAACGTTTGTTACAAACTGCCAAATATTTTGCCAACATACCAAAAACTATACGATTTCTAAGTCACTGTTGTGTACATGTAAAATTGATGAAATATTACATGTTTTGTGGTATGTCTGTCACTATAATAATAAATTTTAAAAACCCTTGCGTTTCTAAAGGAAGCTTTGGGTCTATAGTTCATTCCATTAGCATTGCAAAGGAATTTGGGTTCTGAAAATATGCAACCATCCGTAACAAAATAAAAAGACTTGCCACCTTATGACACTTATTTGGTGAAAGAAGTCGGCTGCTTTGAGGTATTTACAGAACTTAACCAGAGTAAAAGTTACTTAGTTCAATTCCTTTGGGTAAGATGACTTAACATTTTATAATGCCTCTTAATTTCTTATTTGAACTTATTATTGGAATTTGGGTTACAATGAAGAATCCATCACATTGGCAAGGTGATATTGTAGGACTGCATTTTACTTCCAGAGTGAGCTAGCGTTGCTTATTTCTGTTTGTTAACTAGGCCTTTTGATATTTTCATAGACAATCTGCTTCATCTTGATTCTGCAGCATTCCAAACTGTGGTATCCTTGGGGTTCTCTTAACATTGCTATGGTGCAGAAGATTTAAAATCAGGTATGGCTGTGGGGCCAGAAGTCCCTCAGTGAAATTCTGAACTTAAATCTGCCTTATATTCTCTGATTTATTATTTGGGTTTCTTTTTTTGTGGTGGCCTTTTAGCTGATGTTCACAAGGAATAGAGTCACGTGATGTATGAAGGGAAACATATACACTTCTCTGAAGTTGACAATAAGCCCTTGTGCTCATATAGCCCCAAACTGTGCAAGCAGCGGCGACTCAACGGCTACGCTTTCTGTATCAGACACGTTCTGGAGGACAAGACTGCCCCCTTCAAGCAATGTGAATATGTGGCCAAGTATAATAGCCAACGCTGCACCAACCCCATCCCCAAATCAGAGGATCGTAGGTAAGAACTAATAATGGGAATCAATCCTTGATTTAATTAATGACTTGGAATTTTTCTTTTCTTTTTTGATACATTGAATTTAAATGTTGAGTTCTGGGGTAATCTAAGTAAACTTTGGAATGCTTCCAAAGAAAGATGAGAGTGCTGGTTTTTAAAAAATGGAGTAGTAAATTTGGGGAATTATTTGAAAAGTGTGTTTGCGTGTTTTCTTTTTATTGATTTTGTAGACTTTCTAGAATTTTTTTATATTTTTTTCCCTTGGAATCGTTATTTGAAGTCTTGGTCTTGATTTGTCTGGTTTGCGGCCTTTATAAGTAGTTTGGGACTTTTCTACTTATGTTTTATTGTCTGCCTAATGAGAAACTATTTGAGTGTTATAATTACCGGTAATAAATTTGGGGTTTTAAAATTATGCTTGAAAAAGAATTAAAAGTGATTACTTGAATGATTCAGAAGATTTACTTCCTATTAGACTTCTAAACGGTAGTGTTCAGCATTGTTTTATAATCTTGCCTCTTTTGGTTAAAAATAGTTCCACGTATAGTATGCTTACCATAATTTAGAGACTATGTTTTTCTATAGGTAGGCTTTATCACTTGAATTATGAATTACATGCTTTCTTGAATTTTTTAAAAAATGTGGAGGTATTTTTAAAGAGGGACTCTTACACTGGTTATTTATCTTTCCCATCCTTAGGAAAATTCACACTATCTTTCAGGTGTCTCTTGAAAAAATGTCTTTCTTCAGTTCTTCATCAAAACCATATGGATCATTGCAGAGCATTACAGAGAGATGCGTGCTTGTTTTCCAAAAGTTTTAAATACTTTTTAGGTAGAAAATTTGAATCCTTTACTTGTATCTTAAAAAAAATACACAGCCTTCATCCATGTTCCTTTACATAAGAAAATGTCACCTGCATAAATAGGTTGAAAGGGAATCATATATTTTAAGGACATATGATGAACACTTTTTACACTTTAAGTGTGAAGTAAATAATTTGTGCTGATGGAGAGCCCACCAAAATGAGTATAGTATAATGTGGTGATTTGGGAACACTCTCCTAGAATTTCTAATAGCATTTAAGGCTTCAAATGACAATACCTGAAAGTTTGAAACAGCTGCTTAGTGGGGCAAGGAATAAAATTTTAATCTCAGGTAAGAAAAGGACCCTGTATTAGGCTAAACATCTGTCCAGTTTGATCTTAACAGGCTGAAAATGATAGTTTGTTATCTTTTTTCCCTTTTTATTTTGAGGAATGGATGAATTTGGATTAATTTTTTTTAGCTCAAGCTGCATTTACATAGAGCTCTATAATTTTGCCTTAAATTCAGTTTGTCACAGTTGCAGTGGTCAATCTTGTTTTTTATTTGAACTGATGCTAGTCTTGTCTTAATAGCTAATAGCAAGAATTGAAGTGAGAGTACCTCTGAATTTCTCCAAAATGTTAATCCTCTGAAGCATTTGTCTTTACTTTTATTTTCCAGGTAGTTCCTTCTTTTTTAGAAAAAGAAGGGTAAAAGGACATTTGTGCTAATAAGTTAGGAGAAGCTCTACATAATAAGCACTGAGTTACATATTTTTTTCAAAAATTGGCCCAAGACCATATGACTGCAAATGACATTAATATTTTTGTTATTTTGTAGGGTTGTTTGAACATAGGTTAAAGTGGACCTCAAAAGGAGGTAATAATCTTAAGTTTCCTGAAGACATCCACATTTAGTCTATGTAGTACTATCTCTGGAGCCTCTGTGGTACAGTGGGTAAGAGCTTGGCTGCTAAACAAAAGGTCAGCAGTTCGAATCCACCAGCCGCTCCTTGGAAACCATATGACAGTTCTACTCTTTGCTGTAGGGTCACTATGAGTCAGAATCGACTCGATAGCAATGGGTATAGTATGGTAGTACTATCTCTAAACCTGTGTATATATGTAAATAGTTATAACTATACCATATGGCATAATGTAGAAAAGATTAATATTCTTTTGAATCTAAGCTTTCGTTATTATTAATGTAGTTATCTTTGTACGCTTAGGAATTTAACGTGGTTTTATGTATTATTTTGTTCCCAAGGACTTTTAATGACAAAATTATCTGGTTGGTGGTCAGCTAGAGGAAGCTTCTTAATTTCTGGTTTCTAACTTACCTGGTGTGTATTGTAAATGCTAACTTACAGGTTTCCACCTTTGTGAAATAGGAATAGTTCTATACTTAGTGAAAGTGCCAATAAAGCTAAAAAGTAAAGTCTATTTTGTAATATACTTGTATAATGGAAAGCCAAGTCTCATTACTATAGCCTTGGTTTCTCAAAGGTAAGTGGCTGTATTAAATCAGTTATTTTATATAATAAATCTCTTAAATCTAAGTTTTCCTATAATCTTATGTTCATTTTTAGTAGTATATATTTGCCAAGAAATTTCCTTGTTTCTGTATATTTATTCTCTTTTTGAACAACTTTGTTAGGATATAGTTCACACTGCATACAATTCACTTACTGAAAGTGTACAATTCAGTAATTTTTAGTATATTCACAGGGTTGTGTAGCTATCACCACAACCTAATTTTAGAACATTTTCATTCCCCAACAAGAAACCTTGTGCCCATTAGGAGTCACTTCCTGTACGTGTATTCTTATAGACTATAAATTCGTATTTACATAATTGTTTTAAATGCTGTTCATAACCAAGCTGTTCTAGTTGTGAAGAATTTTCCCTTCTAGAAGAGGCAGTTTTTTTTTTTTTTTTAAAGAGTTCAGACTATTGTGGACGAAGCTGAAACCTTCTAGGTTTACACACATGCAAGGTGTAGATTCTCTTTATTAGCAAGAAAGCTTTTTCTTAATGTTGTTGTTAGGTGAGATTGAGTTGGTTCCGACTCATGGCGACCCCATGTACAACAGAGTGAAATACTTCCCGGTCCTGCACCATCCTCAGAATAGTTGTTATGCTTGAGCCCATTGTTGCAGCCACTGTGTCAGTCCATCTTGTTGAGAGGGTCTTCCTCTTTTTCGCTGGCCCTCCACTTTACCAAGCATGATGGTAATAGGCCTATTTAAAATAAAAGAGTGTCTTGGATAGATTTATTTCAATAACAAACCAACAAAACTCAATAGTGTCTATATAAGCCCGGATTATTTGGTGAATCTGTATAAACAATTATTAAAAAATAATAATAATAAGTAGCCCAATGGATTTGAGGATTGACAGAAATATTTACTTTTACCTTATAACGTTTTTTCCTAAACTGTTTTCTGTGGAGATGTCATAGGTATGCTGCAATAAAAATAGATTTTCCATTTTCAAATAATTTTGGGAAACACTGCCGCATAGGTACATCTTAGAGCTTCATAACGCACATTAATCATACAAAATGTTTTGAGAAGTCATCTAGTAGAAACAAACAGCAGCAAAACCATTGTTTAATTTTAAGTCACCATTTTCCCAATTTAAGCATAGAATAGTGCATTTATGGCTTACTTGTTAATATACTGTGAAACTGTATGAGGAAAAATCAGTTCTTTAATATAGTGGTTAAAAGTTTCCATGGGTTTTCAGTGTGGTTTGTTGGCATAACATCTATTATACTTTTCTCGTTATATGAAAAGACTTTATCCTTTCATAGTATTTTTAAAATAGCATTTAAATTACAAAATAACTTGCCCATTGTTGAAGACTAATAAGAGGCTTCATAAACTTTGATTCTAGTTCAGATCCCAGCTCTGTCACTTTACTGGGTGGCTTAAACCAGCAGAAATTTATTATCTCACAGTTCTAGAGGCTAGAAGTCTGAAATCAAGGTGTCTCTGTGAAGGCTCTAGTGGAGGAATCCTTCCTTGCCTCTTCTGGCTTCTGGTGGTTCCAGGTATTCCTTGGCTTGCAGCAGCCTAACTCTGATCTCTGCCTCCTCTTTCACAGGACTGTCTTTCCTTTGTGTGGGTCTCTGTGTCTCTTCTCTTTGTATAAGAATACCAGTCATACTGGATTATGGCCCACCCTACTCCAGTATGACCTCATGTTAACTAATTACATCTGCAAAGACCCTGTTTCCAAATAAGGTCACATTCACAGCTAATGGGGGTTAGAACTCTAACATATCTTTGAGGGATACAAATCAACTGAGAATAGGTGGTACTGAGCAAGTTAATTTCTGTAAAGCTTAGTTTCCTCATTTGTGTAAAGGGCGTTATTTTAGTACCTACTGTAGGGAATTGTGAGAATTAGATGACATAATCTATGTACTTGTATCTGCCTATTGAGAAACTCATTTCACATGTAATCCCACTATCCACTTTTATTACTTTACTTTCTCCTTCCATTCTATTTATGCTGTGTGTGTGTGTGTGTGCACGCACATGCATATAAAACACAATAGACACTTGACGTTCTTAAGGGTTATGTCATAAGATCTTTGTGACTCTCCAAATACTTGAATAACATTGAAATACATATTTTTCTCCATAAGAGAATTTTAAGTGATCCTTCAGACTCGTGATGAATTACTTTGTAAGGTATGGATAGAGAATAACAGAGCCAAAGGAGAGGCAATAGCTGGGCAGTTTCCAGGGCCACTCACTAAGCTGAATGACTTGCTTCTGTGTATGTACCATTCACATATTTGCTTCATCAAAATTACATAGACTTTGAGGAGTGCTTGAGAGTACTGAAAGTTCATATATTCAATTTGTGAAGACCAAGAGTTACTATAGTCATGCTTTTTTTTTTAATATATTAAGATTTGCATTTTAAATATAGTTTTATATTCCACTTTTATTAATATGTATCATGAACATTTTCCCATGTATGTGTATATTTTTAAGGTACTGCAACAGCCACTTGCAGGTACTTGGCTTTATCCCGAAAAAAGAGAGGAAGAAAAAGAATGATCCTATAGATGAGGTAAAGGTCAGGCACCAGATGGATACCATGGCCTTTAGCCTGACGGTGCCCACGTTGGCCTTGAAGATGCCCAATGGACTGGATGGAATGTCCCTCTCTCCACCAGGGGCAAGGGTCCCTCTCCACTACCTGGAAACTGAGTTGGAAGACCCATTTGCTTTCAACGAGGAAGATGATGACCTGAAGAAAGGGGCAACTGTGAGAAAGAAGTTGCAGAGTAAGTTGGCCCAGAATCGGCAACGCCAGAGAGAGACAGAGATTTTAAAAGTTCGACAAGAGCACTTTAGTCCCCCTCCTGCACCTTCACAGCAGCAGCCTCCACAGCAGCACTCCCACCTGCCACCTTTATCCACTTCTTTAAAACCTCCAGCGCCACCGCAGGGTTTAGTCTGCAAGTCACCTCAACCTCAGAACACCAGCCTACCAGTGCAGGGAGTGGCACCCACCACACACTCTATAGCACAAGCAAGGCAGTTGTCTCACAAGAGACCTCTGCCCCTCCTGCCATCTAGTAGGGCTCCTGTCGTGGACCCACCCAGGACTGACCGGGTCCTTATGAAAGCCACAGCCTTCTCTCCACGCTTCTCTTGTATAAGTCGACTGCAGAGACTGATGAAACTGTGCACCCAAAAACATCAGTTGGATACTGATCTGTTTCCCCATTTCGGTAAGTTATCATCTGTGTTATCATCTCATATATGTATAATAGAACAAAATGTGCCATGTGTGAGGCTTTACTTTCATAACTACCACGTATGTGATAGGAGTAGAAGGACACCTGTACAGAGTGGTGTAATTAAAGATTCTGTTATTAGGTGTGTTGTTATGTGCCACCGAGTCAGGTTCTGACTCATAGTGATCCTACGTACAACAGAACAAAAAACTGCCTGATCCTGCACCATCTTCACAATCGTTGTTATGCTTGAGCCCATTGTTGCCGCCACTGTGTCAATCCATCTCGTCCAGGATCTTCCCCTTTTTCACTGACCCTCTACTTTACCAAGCATGGTGTCCTTCTCCAGACACTAATCCCTCCTGATAACATGTCCAAAGTATGTGAGATGAAGCCTCCAATGAGCATTCTGGCTGTACTTCTTCCAAGGCAGATTTGTTTGTTTTTATTAGGTATAGACCACCTTAAAGTAAATATGCTACTGGAAGGAAAACTTGATGAAAAAGATACAGAAATATGAGTTGAGAATTTAGAATTTCCATCATAGCTTCTATTATTATTGTTATTGTTAGTTGCTGTTGAGTCAGCTCCAACTCATGGCATCCATATGTGTAACAGAATGAAATGTTGCCCGGTCCTGCACCATCTTTATGATTGTTGATATGTTTGAGTCCATTGTTGTGATTTTTGCATAATGCCTTCCAACCTAGGGGGCTTATCTTCCAGCATTATATCAAGCAATAGTCTGTTGAGATCTGTAAAATTTTCATTGGTTAATTTTTGGAAATAGATCAGCAGGCCTTTCTTCCTAGTCTGTCTTAGTCTGGAAGTTCTGCTGAAACCTGTCCACCATTGGTGACCTTGCTGGTATTTGAACTACTGGTGGCATAGCTTCCAGCATCATAGCAACACACAAGCCACCCCAGTACGACAGACTTGACAGATGGGTTGTGAGCCATTATTAGTAGTAGTAGTAGCAGTATTAAAAGGTGTTTGGTTGTGTGCCTTTATGAACTCAGTACTTGTGTGTCTAATGAAGTTCTCTACATGTTTTTTCTTAGGACATTGGAATAATGATAGCCTGGTTAATGTCTGCTGACAGCCTTAAAAAAAAAAAAAAAACTTTTCTATTATCTTTTTTTAATTCCAAAGTAATTCGTGTTCGTGATTGAAAAGTAACAAAATATAGATAAAAACCTTTTAATTTTAATGGGATCAAATGTCTATCTTTTCCTTACAATGTCTGAGTTTTCAGTCTTGCTTGAGAAAAATCTCCCCATCCCAAATATATACATTCTGTAATTTCTATTAATAGTTTGATTGTTTTGTTTAGCTTTGGTTTTGATCACTTAAATCTTTAATTCATTTGGAATTTATTCTTGAATGTGGTATGAACTATGATTCTCACTTTAGGAAAAATTATTTATATGACATATAACAATAGAAGAATGGGCAAAAGACATGAATAGAGGAAGAAGAACTATGAATGGTCAATAAATGAAAACCTCAGTCTCCATAGCAGGCAGGGAAACAAAACAACAGTGAATTACCATCAGATTGGCAAAAATTATATCCAGGCTGTTGTGTTGGTGAGAATATGTGATCTCTTACATTGCTGTTGAGTAATCTGGCAATATCTATTAATTAAAAATACATACACGGCCAGCAAACCCACTTTTGGGACTCTTCCATGGATAAAAAAATATCAGAGTGTAAGGATATGTGTGCAAGGATATTTATTGCAGCACTGCTTGCAATGTTAAAAACCTACAAACGACCTGGATATCCAGTAGGAACCTTGAGTAAATTATGATACATACATGTTTTATAAAATATTATGCAGCTGTTGAAAAGAATGAATGAAATCGTTATCTGTTGTCTTGGAGGTGCTCATAATATATTAACAAGTGGAAAAAAAACAAGAGGTATTACATTATCCAATTTTTGTAAAAATAAACAAAAACCTTAAAAGCTAAGTATATAGATAGATGTCTGTCTGTTTGATATGGGCATAGATAAAAGTGTAAAAGGATGTATATTACCCGGCTTTGAACATTGGCTACCACAGGGAATGGAATTAGACAGAATGTTTTTAGGGAGATCAGAGTGGTAGCTCTTCTTATATAGCTTTATATTGTTACATCTGTTACTAAAGCATGTATGACTTTTGGCAATTTAAAAAATAATAATAAAAATTAAAGACAAAATATAGATAAGCAAAAATAATAAACCAGAGCATACCGAAGCCTGTTAATACCATTTATTAATGGTATGGTCTTTCAGATATATAAAATTGGGTTCCTACTATATATATTATATTGTAACCTGTTTTAAAATTTTTCATAATAATGTGTTTTCAAGTTAGTAATTTTCATATATTACATAATTTGTCCTAGCTGAATTCGATCTCCAATTTAAGTTTTTCGAGTTTATATCATTATAAAGTATTGTACATGTACAGTCTTGCAGCAAAATAATTTGCTATCACGTCTTTAACTTTTCCTTCAAATAGATTCCTAGAAGTGGAAATGTCAGTTCCAGGTTTTTACATCTTTTTCATTAAGGCTTTTGATATGTGTTGCCATATTTTTCTTCAGAATTATTGTCTCAATTTACCCTTCTTTCAACAGTGTATGAAAATGACGGTTTCTTTACAGTTTTACCAGTGTCTAGGTGTTGTTATTATTATTTTGCCTTTGCAGATTTGGTGGAAAATTTGCTTTAATTTGCATATTTAGATCAGTATTTCTCAAATTTTTGGCCTCCGGATCCCTTTATGCTCTTAAAGATTATTGAAGATTTGCATAGAACTTTTGTGTATGTGAGTTGTATCTATTAATATTTACTGTATTAGAAGTTAAAACTGAGAAATTTAAAATGTATCAATTCATTTAAAAGTAACAATAAGCTCACTACATGTTAACATGTTCTTTTTATGAAAAATAGCTGTGTTTTTCAAAACAAAAGCAAACAGACGAGTTGCATTGTTTTTACTTTTTTTGTAAATTTAAAGTCTGGCTTATTAGAAGAGAGCTAGATTTTTCTATGTGCTTTTACATTCAGTCTGTAGTGATATGTGACTTTGGTTGAAGAAAATGAAAGTACAGCCTCACACATGTGTAGCTGGAAAAGGGAGGAGGAGTATTTTAAGAACCTTTTTCAAATAATTGTGCATATTTTTCTTTGGTTCTACACCTAAACTTGACAAATAGTAATTTATTTTTATTTTTTTATTGTTCTTTAGGTGAAAGTTTACAGTTCAAGTTAATTTCTCATACAGAAATTTATACACATATTGTTATGTAACACTAGCTGCAGTCTCTATAATGTGACAGCATACCCCCCCTTTCCACCCTGGTTCCCGTGTCCTTCCAGCCAGCCTCTGTCCCTTCCTGCCTTCTTATCCTGCCTTTGGACAGGAGCCATCCATTTGGTCTCATGTATCTGCTTGAACTAAGAAGCACACTCTTCACAAGTAGTATTTTATGTTTTATAGTCCAGTCTAATCTTTGTCTGAAGAGTGGGCTTTAGGAATGGTTTTAGTTCTAGTTTAACAGAGTGTCTGGGGCCCGTGGCCTTGGAGGTTCCTCCAGTCTCAGTCAGACCATTAAGTCTAATCTTTTACATGAATTTGAGTTCTACTCCACACTTTTCTCCTGCTCTGTCAGAGACTCTCTGTTGTGTTCCCTGTCAGTTAGTTGCAATGTATAATCTGAAACTATATAGGTAAACTTTTCATGCTTGTTACATTAAACTCCATTGGTCTGCCTTGCACTTTGACTGAATCTTTTACACAGGCATGATTTTGTAACATCATGTATTGGTCATTTGAAACATACTGGTTCACTGAGTTATGTAGATGTTCCAAATTTGGCATATTTCATTATACAAAATTAAAAAATTATATTCATTAATATTACCAATCTCATCAGAAAAGTTGTACTACTGGGAAGCTGTCAGGCTCTCAGTGGTGAACACAGGTTTTCTAAAAATTGAGGTTTTAAGTGAAAATATTAATTTTGTCATTGGCAATGACAAATACTGTCAGTGGGTTTCTTTAAGTGACAGTCTCACTGTGTTCATTTTAGAGAAAATGACTGCCAGATATGCACGTCTTAATAACTGTGGTTTGTCTGTCAGTTACTCTTTAAAGTAAAAATGATATTGAATGAAAAAAAAAGCAGCTAGTTCATCTCGCAATTCAAATCATCGTGCAGGTGTTTTTCCTTGAGACAACACCATACTTTACATGCAGCAGAAGTCGTTTTATGGCTACTTCACATTTAGTCACACAGAATGTTAAAAAACCATACGCTCTAGGATTGAGATTTAATAAAATAAACAATCTTTAATAAGCAAGTGCTTTATCAAGGACATTCATAAATAAAACTTTTTTTTTTTTTTTTTTTTTAATAACTGTGAATCGTAGTGGTGAAGACCAAAGTGACTTCTAGTACACTTTGCCATTGCCTTGATTCATGCTATGGTGCCAGCAGTTTGAACCACTATTGTTTCAGTGCAGATATCAACACGGTAAAAAAGGCAAATAACATGTTAGTATATTTTGAAAGTGGTGTTGACCTCAGGAAGCCCCTGGGGATTGGCAGACCATACTTCGAGAATCACTATTTTGGATTAAAAACCAAAAAACAAACCCATTGCCTTCAAGTCATTCTGACTCGTAGCGACCTTATAGGACAGAGTAGAGCTTGAGCTGCCCCACAGGGTTTCCAAGGAGCGGCCAGTGGATTTGAACTGCCAACCTTTTGGTTAGCAGCTGTGGCTCCTAACCACTGTGCCCTAGGGCAGCATTTTGGATTGATCGTATAATTATTAATTTGTTCATCTGCTTTTTGGACATTTGCATTTCATATTTATTTTTTTTTTGCCTTTCATTTATCTATTTTTATTGATTTTTTTTTAATTGGGTAAGAGCTTTTTTTACATATACTTGTCATATTTGTTACAAATCTCTTCCCACTCCCATTTGTTATATTTGCTTTTAAATGTCTTTTAAAATTATTTTGGAATTTAGAAGTTTAAAATCCTTATGTATTCCCTTTCTTAAGATGATTTCTTCTTTTTGAATCAGGTTTTTTTTTCTCCTCCCCCTACCAGCTTTCTCTGCCCACAAGTATTTAAATACATCCACCTGTATTTCTTTCTAGTTCTTTTATTATTTTATTACTTACATTTTAGTCATCTACCTGGAACTTATTTGGGAGTTTGTTTTGAGGCAGAAATCAAACTCTATTCTTTTCCCAAATGGTTGCTTCTTGTTGAAACATTATGTATTGATAATCTCGTCTCTTTCCTCACTAATTTGTTACCTACATCATCTACTAAATTTTTATTTATACTGTCATTTACTTCTGGGTGCCGATAATTTTTTAGCTTTTGAAATAAGAAATTTTATGCTATGTTGGGGTAGGAGGATAGCTGCATATAGTAGACTATATGGATTTTCTGATTTAAACTGATTTCTATCATTTTTAAACAGAAAGAAAACTTACAGAAAAAAAAAATTTTATTAAAGCATATTTAGGGGCGCAAATTTTCACAGTAAGCGTTATTTTTGAGGAACCAGAAATTGTAATGGAACTCTTGTAATCATGCATAATCTGTATTTATGTCAGCAAAGAGTACTTAAAGCAAAATTCAGTTTTACAATTAACTTTACAGTCTTGTCTGGGCTGGTTATCTCAGTTAGTTACATTAAAACTAGTGTTCATGAAGCCAAGATCAAAGGTTTGCTTTATTGGACAATTCATTTTACAACAGCAGAAACAGCTCTATCTTGGTTCTTATGACTTAGATCTTGACTTTTTCAGAAAAGGTGTTAAGTGTCTCAGTAGAAATCAGTATTATTTCTACAGAAACAACTAAAAAAGAACTCATGTTCTATTTTAAAAAGGTAACTGAGGCGTGACTTTTGTGTTTGAAGGACTCATCTTTCACTGAAGTTGATGCCATTGTGATCAATAAATTGGTTTTTCCTTCTTAAAAAACAAATTACTAATTTATTTTAATCGAGGGAAAGTGACTTTTTAAGGTGACCTGACATTTTAGATAGTCATCTTGGAACTAGATTTGAGGTTTCTTTATGCCAGTAGCAATGTGCTGTTCAGTTTTAAGCAATTATAATTTTCATTCCTATTAACCTTTTCTTAATTCCCCTATTTGGCACATGTAAGCTCATTTAAACTATGAAAGAAATCAGTGAAGTCCTTTTTAACATAAGTCTGTCTAATGTGATCTTTTGATTTTTGAGGTTCTCAAGAAGAGCATAGGATACTAGTTATCATGGTGTCTAATAAGTGTCATAGTAATATGAATATATTAAAGTTATTTAGTCCCACACACTGTTGTACTGTAGGTTATACAACATCAGTATTTATCAAGACCTCTTCAAGATATAAAACTTTTAAAAGGGTAAAAAACCTTCATTTTGGTAGTTACGATTATTCAATTATTAAAAATTAAAGCATTTAATAAGATGAATAATTAAACATTGTTCTATTACATTTCTCTAGTTTCCCCTCTAAATTTGCAACACAAAATGTGGCAGCTATTACTTAAAAGAATTGAAGGAAATCCCAAACCCAAACTGCATTAGTAATAAAGCATTCTCATCTCCACTCTTCCCTATTCCCACAGCGGTCAAGAGCCAGGAATGGCACTGCCTAGAGGTAGAGCCCTCTCCTCCAGAGTTGTTGGGAGAGGGCAATGGAGTATCTGTCTGCCTTTGATAATTTTTTCAAGGGCTTTGGAGTCCTCTCTGTGTTAAAGTATAAAGTGAATTGATCAGCACTCTTTGACCTTTTTCTTGCCTGAACATAGGTTGGGCTTCTTTCTCACTCTCTTGAGTGTGTTTTATGTTTTTCTGACATTATTTTAGTATATGATGTTTTGATACTTAAGATATTCTACTTATCTTTTTGCACCTTCTTTCTTTTTAAAAATTTTGTTTATTTTGTTGTTGTTTAGAATATACACAGCAAAACATACGTCAGTTCAACAGTCTACGTGTACAATTCAGTGACATTGATTACATTCTTCAAGTTGTGCAACCATTATCACCCTCCTTTTCTGAGTTGTTCCTCCCCCACTGAACTCTCTTTGCTTGTGTTATTTCTGCTTCATTAATGAAGTGTCTGATAAAAGAAACTCATCCTTGGAATATATCTTTTTTTCATAGTGTCATCTTTTTTAAACCCAAGTGTAAGTCATACATTCATTATTAATATCTGTATGAGAACAGGAATGAGACTCATCGGGAGGTATTTATTCACACTGGGATAGCACATGTTATAGATGCTGAGTTATGTGTTTTGGGTAGCTTTTAATTTAATTTTAAATAAAAGTAAAGTTTTTTTGACTTGCAATATCCCCTCGTCTGTCCCAGGGTTGGACTGGTCTGAAGAGAGCGGAGAGGAACTGGAGGACTCAGAGCAGGCCTCACCATACCAGGTTGCATGGTCCATCCGAGAAACCCTCAGATATGAAAGACATGCGTAAGTCTTCCTTTTGGTTTTGATTCTTAAATTACCACTGTAGCAGATTGACTTTTCCCTGTATAGGCTATGTTATTTATTTTATTAGATCTGCTTTTATTATAAGGAGGTAAAATAGATTCTACTTGGGAAGAAATGTACTATATTGTTTGAGGAAAGCCTCTCATCAGTTTTACCTTCAGTAAAATGTTGACTAGAAATCATGAGAATAAACATAGTTGCCTTGTTTAGTTTCTGTTGGGTGAAATATCCATGGAATTTTGGATTAAAATAATTATTGATTTATGGAGATTCCACTTATTTCCTTTTCAGATCTATGTGATCATTCCTGTTAGTCTTTTGTTGCCTTCTTGTCTTTGTGAATCCATACATGGTTTCATCCATAACTGTTTCATATTTTGTATCTGATAATTCCAACATTTGGGGTCTTTGTAACTTTAAATCTGTCATTTATGGTTTCTTCTCATACAAAGTGGTTTACCTCATTTGCATGGTAATCTTTGATTGTGAAGGTCCTGGATTTATCCTGAAATCTCAGATTCAGCTTCCTTATTGTGCTGTTGGGATGCGACTTTATACCCTATGTTGGTGCTTCTGTCAGCCCATGTCCTGAATGCAGTCTGTTTCTTCCATTCTCTCACTGCTTCCAGCTTTAGCTTCAGCTCTGATTTGTTCCTTTTTTATTTTCACCAGGCAATTTGGGAAGAGATTTCCTCTACTTCTTTTGATACCAACAGTGTATCGATATTCTACCCAGTATGTAGTTGTTTTAGAGTGGGAAAATCCCTTAGAGTATGTAGACTGCCATATTGCCATAAATCTGTTTATTCTTTTTTTGTTTCAACTATTATCTCATTGTGAATGACTCCCAAGTCTTCTTCTCATGTCTGAACTTTCTTCTGAGCTTGAACTGCCTATTGAATATTTCTTATCAAATATCCTGTCAACACTCTAAATTCAGCATTTCTAAAATTAAACTCATTATTTTCTTCAATATATGTACCTCTTTCTGATTCCCTTATTTTTGTCAGAAGTGTTACTTTTTTTGGTTGTTGTTGTTTTATTAAAATAAAATGAGTTTTATTTGGAGAATTTCATGTCATCTCTGAGATTACAGATAAGCCCGAGTCTTAGAAAATCAGGTTTGGAATTTACTTCTTCATATTTGGGGTTACTAGTAGCATTTCAGGAATAATAATACCTGTATTTATATTGTGCTATCACATATATGGAGCCCTTGTGGCATAGTGGTTAAGACCTCAGCTGCTAACCTAAAGGTCAGCAGTTCGAATCCACCAGCTGCTCCTTGGAAACCCTATGGGGCATTTCTACTGTGTCCTGTAGAGTCGCTATGAGTCAAAATCAACTCGATGGCAGTGAGTGTGGTTTTTTGTGTTTGGTCACCTATGTATTTCTTTTCATTCTCCTAACAACCTCTGGAGATAGGCAGAACATCTATATCTCTCATTTCACAGATAAGGAAAGTTAAAGAAGGATATTGAAAACATACTAGGTGCCGGGCCTTGTTGCTGCTGGTAAATGGTGGGAAACTAAGATTTTCGCTCAGGCCTTTCTATTCCCAGTTCACTACTCTTCCTCAGCAACCAGGTTTTAAATATCAATATCATAGCATCTTAGAAGTGGGAAGCATCTTGGAGATTTTCTAGTTTAGGACCATGCCAGGGATGGTCTGTAGACTTGTGCCAGTCTGCAAGCTGCTTATGGCTGGTCCACAACAAGATAAACATAGAAATTGACACTAAGCTTTAGAAACGTTTATAAAAATGTAACATTGCATCAGCATCAAAGTGTATCTTCCCACAATTAGCTCCCTGCACTATTAGTCTTTTGAATAACAATTTTGACAAGTGGTTGTCCACCCAAGCTTTAACATCCCTTTAAGACTTGCTGCTTTTTCTTTTCTATTAATAGTGCTTCCATTCTCCTAGTTATCCAGATTCAAAGCCATTGAGTTATTATGGACTTTCTTCCTCTTCATATCCAGTCACCAAATTGAGTTAATTCTTTTTTGATAACGGCCCTTGGATGTCTTCTTCTTTCTGTTACCCCTGACTTTTTACTTTTAGTCACTCCCATGTCTTTCAGTTGTTGTCGACTCTGAAATCTGTATCTCTTCCTTAAGTATGCTCCAGTTTATCATTTCAAATGGTTTTTCTGCAGCTTCCCTTGATACCCCACCACCCTCTACTTTAAATTAATTTTGCCACAACTCTGCTTTTACTCCTGTTCCTTACTTTATAAATGATACTGCTGTCCTTCCTCAATCTTTGCCAGTGGACACTATTGAGTGACTAATTTCTTAACTGTTTTCTTCTTCCATCTCTTCCTCCATTTATTCTGTGGCTGCTGACAGAGTGACTTTTCTCATGCATAACTATTATTGTTACCCATTTTCTTAAAAATCTACAAAGGTTCTTCATTGCCTTTGGAATAAAGACTAAATAAACTCTTTAACCTGACATTTAGGTTTAGAAAGTTTATCTAACCTACCACTTAGCCAAACTAAGCTACTTAGTACTTGCTGTTCCCTAATCTGCCTTCATCTCTGAATCTTTGTTTATATTGTTTTATCCATGTCAGGTCCCTGTGTTTCTCATCTTCAAGTTCTACATTTTCTTCAAGGTTCAGTTATATTGTCCTCTCCTTTACAAAAGCCTTTGCCATAATCTTAGTAGATTTTCTAGTGAACTTCAATAGGACTTTGTTTGTAGCACGAACTGGCTCTACTAGAACTCCCAGTTGAAGATCCGCTGTGAAACTTAAGAGAACAATTCAAAATAAAGATTCCTGGGCCCCAGCCCATGGAGATTCTGATTCAGTAGCTCTGAAGTAGGTCCTGGAAATCTAAAATTTTATAAAGCTCCTAGGTTTTACTAATTTGTGGTCTGGTATTTGAATCATTGTTCTGTCTACCCCATAGTTTTAGTTATTGCTTCTGTCTTCTTTTGAATTGTTTAACTTTTGAGATGTGCTTACCTTGTCTAAATTGCATTGTAAACTCCTTGGAATCTTTGTCTCTTCTCCATAGTACCTAGCATAATAGTAGAACACAGTAAATGTTGAATGTTGAATAAATGAAAGAATTTGTATATCTGTAATAAAAACTGTAGAGGCTATACTGATGTTTCTTAGGAGAGATACTAAACATCAGTTTACATAGTTGCCTGCTGTGGGCTATTCTGAAGGAAAGTTGAGTAATACTACTTGAGAAGAGAAATCAACCAATGTTTTAGAGAAGAGTAAGATAATATATATAGTCTGTGGTATCAAATATGTGGTTACTTACTTATATTATGACAGAAGAGAAAGAAGATAAAATAACACGGGTCAATTTTCAAGTCTAGTGTGCATTATTCCTAATACTAAAAAGTGAGATCACGCTTGGTTCAGAGAAAAGTGACGTTTTTAACCCCACTGGTGGTAAACATTGCTGATTAACCACGGCACTCTTTCTTGTTGAGCCTGGATGTGCCCTCAGCATTCTTTTCAACATAACACTCCAGCAGCAACCGCCAATCAATTATCTTTAGCATGTGAGAAAAAAACCTCTGTGTAATGTCTGGTCTATAAAATGCTCCCATAGTTTTAAAAAAAAAAAAAAGTTACTGTAGAATGATTGTGATGCCAACAATTAAAATTCTTGAGTGCTTAGCAATAAAAGGATAGTTAAAAACCAGTACATCTAAAAGGACAGCTCTTTGATAATGTACTGTTAGAATTCACTGCACTATTTCTGATATGGCCTATATTTTATAAAATTATGCTGAGTGTTTCCTCATAACTGCCATGTTATTTACTCAGACGTCTTAGTAAGTAAAGGTAAAGAAATGAATTTTTCCCCCGAGAGTTCCTAGTCACTTAAAATTTAGAAGACGCTGATGCATTAAATGTCTAATTCTGACATGCTAATGTGGTTAAGCTTCTTAAAGCATTGGATTGTCTCTACTGCCTGGCTTATTGTTGAAATATTGTATTTATTTTCAGCACTGTTGGAATTCTGTTACTCTAATTTGTTATGTATGTGCTCATATGCCACAGGAGTTTAAACCTGTGCAGCCAACTATCCTTCCTCATCCTGTTTTCATTTCTCTCCCTGCTCTTTCCAGGTCAGATGATGACGATACAGAGAGTAGGAGCTCCAGGGTGACCCAACTTTGCACTTACTTTCAGCAGAAATACAAACACCTCTGCCGCCTGGAGCGGGCAGAATCTCGTCAAAAGAAATGCCGGCATACATTTAGGAAAGCCTTGTTGCAGGCGGCCAGTAGAGAGCCAGAGTGTACTGGGCAGTTAATACAAGAACTGCGGCGAGCTGCGTGTAGTCGAACCAGGTTAGAGCCATCCAGAGCACCTGTTTCTAAGGAACTTGTCTCAGTCTGTTTTCTGTATTTTTTGAGAGGACAGTGGAGATCTGATGGGAGATGGGCATCTAAGCCTAAAACGTTAAAGCATTGTATTTTTATTTTGTTGCTTAGATAAATTTCCTCACAGGTGGCAAAATAATATTGCAGTGAGCTAACAAGTAAATTAAGGCATAATTGTAATTTTGCTGGAGTTCGGTTAGAATTTATTCAATAAAGGATTTGAGAATGTTTACCTGTCTTTAAAAAAGAAAATACAGCGGTGTTTTGAAATTTCATATGCTATTTAAAAGTAATATTTATAGGTTTTTTCCCCCTATAAAAGGAGATAATTTTCAAATTTAGAAGGCTTACTTTTTTATTGAGTTTATTATTTCACACTTGCGACTTAACTTCTTGTGTTTTCAAAAGACAACTTGAGTATAGATGAATAGAAAAAAACTTAGGAGTTTATATGCTGAAATATTAGTACTTGTTAGCTCTAGATGATGGTATTATAAACTAAAGCTAAGAAAGATGTCTTTATCTGTATATTCTGATTTTTCTACACTGATCAGGAGTCACTTGAGTAAAAAAGGTGTTAAAACAAATAGAAAACTAAAATATAACCTTTACTTTGTAGCTATTGATTATATTATATAGTTATAATTTTATTTTATTATTGTGCTTTAAGTGAAAGTTTACAGTTCAAGTTAGTTTCTCATACAAAAACTTAAACACACATTGTTATGTGACCCTAGTTGCTCTCCCTGTACTGTGACAGCACACTCCTCCTTTCCACCCCAGATTTCCCATGTCCATTCAACCAGCTTCTGTCCCTTTTGCCTTCTCATCTTGCCTCCAGACAGGAGCTGCCCATTTAGTCTCATGTATCTACTTGAGCCAAGAAGCATTCTCTTCGTGATTATCATTTTATGTCTTATAGTCCAGTCTAATCTTTGTCTGAAGAGTTGGCTTTAGGAATGGTTTCAGTTCTGGGCCAACAGAGAGTCCAGGGGCCATGTCTTCTGGGGTCCCTCCGGTCTCAGTCAGGCCATTAAGTCTGGTCTTTTTACTAGAATGTGAGTCCTGCACCCTACTTTTCTCGTGCTCCGTCAGGGACTCTGTTGTTATTCCCTGTCAGGGCAGTCATTGGTGGTTGCCGGGCACCATCTGTTCTTCTGGTCTTAGGCTGATGTAGTCTCTGGTTTATGTGGCCCTTTCTGTCTCTTGGGCTAATATGGTCGCTCACTAGCTTTTAAGACCTCCAGAGGCCACTCACCAAATGAGATGCAGAACATTTTCTTAATAAACTTTGTTATGTCAGTTGACCTAGATGTCCCCAGAAACCATGGTCCCGAGACCTCTGCCCCTGCTACTCTGTCCCTCGAAGTGTTTGGTTGTAATCAGGAAACTTCTTAGCTTCTGGTTTAGTCCAGTTGTGCTGACTTCCCCTGTAGTGTGTGTTGTCCTTCCGTTCACCTAAGATAATTCTTATCTACTATCTAGTTAGTAAATAACCCTCTTCCTCCCTCCCCACTCTCATAACCAGCAGAGAATGTTTTCTTCTGTGTTTAATCGATTTCTTGAGTTCTTATATAATAGTGGTCTCATAATATTTGTCCTTTTGTGACTGACTGATTTCACTTGCTATGAGTCGACATCAACTCTGCGGCAACGAGTTCAGGGTTTTTTTTTTAAGTATATAAGGTAATTAATAAAATCACTAATAAAATGAATACTTATTGTGGGGGGAAAAAAAAAAAACGGTTGCCCTGGAGTCGATGGTGACTTATATCGATCCTATAGGACAGAGTAAAACTGCCCCACAGGGTTTCCAAAGAGCGGCTGGTGGATTCGAACTGCCGACCTTTTGGTTAGCAGCCAAGCTATTAAATAAACACTGTGCCTCCAGGGCCCTATTTATTGTAGAGAGGGTGGGAATTGGCGTATCAGAAGACATAGGTGGGAAGGAGATTCTTCAGTACATAGCCTTTTCGTTCTTTGATTTTTTAAACCATATGAATATATTACCTATTCGTAAAATTTAAAGATAAAATATCTAAATATTAAGTGTATAAAATGGAGATAACACTTAATTAATGAAACGGAGTTGCAAGTATAAGAGAAAGTTTAAAAAATTTTGTTCAAAGTGAGTGCATTTTGGAGAATGAGAGTGAATCAATCATTTAAGCATGTTAGTACCCGTGTATCAAGTTTTTTGCAGGTTAACTGTTTTAGCAGCATGAGGTGACCAAATCATAATGATGACAATAATAATAGCAGTGGCTAACAACCATTGACTGTTTACTATGTACCATTCTGTGTCCTGTATAATAAGTGTTTTAGATGTGTTATGTCTTTTGGTACTCAAAACAACCCTGTCAGCTAAAGACATCATTCTTACCTCTCCTATAGGAGAGGATGTTGAGGCTTAGATGAGGCTAAGTAACTAAGTAAAGTAACCTAGTAAGAGGTAGAGCTGAGATTAAGAGCCAGGTCTATCTGATTCTAGTCTCACGTTCTTCATCACTTTTTTCTATAGCCTCTTAGTGAAGTAAAAGGAACCAAACTGTTACTTAAAACCAAAGCAGATAGACGTATTTGAAACCTTTGTAATGTAGTTATTTGCTTTGATTGTCAGTAGATCAGGGAAATATTGGAACTGGTCATTGTGATATCTGCTTTCTTTAACTCATTTGCATTTTATTTAATGTATATAGGTATCGGAGAGAGTTAAAATGTGAGTGGTACAGAGTGGTGATATAATGTTGAAAATTACCTTGAATTCTTGACACATTTTTTTTTTCTTTTTATTGTACTTCAGGTGAAGGTTTACAGAACAAATAGTTTCTCATTAAACAGTACACATATTGTTTCATGACATTGGTTAACAACCCCACAACATTTGACACATTCTTTAAAAATTAATTTTGTTTTTGTCCCTCCTTAGCATAAGCCGGACCAAGTTGAGGGAGGTGGAGCCAGCAACATGTAGTGGAACAGTGAAGGGTGAACCCTGCAGGAACCAAGCCCTTCCATTCACCAGACACTGTTTCCAACGTATCCTCTGAGCTGAATTGAGTGTGCATTGCAAAAGTATTAACTGATTTGGGGCTGTGTATTTCATTCTTAAGTGAATGACTTATGAAGTCCTCTGAGTAATTGTTTTTACTTATATCATTGTGATTCTTTATTCAAGAATCACATCAAAATAAGCCAAATTCTAGCAAGTAGCATGTTCTTACAGTAAGTTATATTTTGATAACAAAACTTTGGTCCCTCAGGTTGTTCCAGATAACTTGTAAAAAACAATTATTATACTCATTGATGGAAAAAATCAAATAACATTATTCAAAAAATTGTTTTGGGTCTTTCAGGAACGTTATATAGTTTTACACTGTACTTTTTGCTGTAGGATTATTTTAGTATTTGTAATGAGTACAGTGCTGATTTGAAATAAATGAAAGGTGAATATGTAGCAAACATCACTGACAAGGAAAGAAGATATCTTAAGACAGAATATATTTGAGGAAGACCTATGCTAGAGGACTTCAGACTGGTGATGAAACCTTATGTTCTCACTTTTATTAAATATTTAAAATTGAGTAGCATTTTATTATTTATATGGTAGCACTAATTTATTCTTTACTATCTGTCTGATTTTTGCACTCCTTTCTGTTCTTAGAGTTGTGTTTTCAAACCTTTCTCAGCAGTGGTTTCTATGCAGTGATGGCTTTATAAATAACCTTAACTATAAAAGCATAACAGAAAAACAGAAAAGTACTTCCTTAAGAGATGTAAAGTAAATCTTGTGGACATGTCGGTGGTGGCTAAAAGTATGAATGCATAAAAATGATAAAGAGCTGATGTTCCAAGTTCAATAGTTACACAGCAAAAATTGCTAACAATTTTTTTTAAAGTTTTGTTGTAAAAGTAATATTTCTTGAGAGTTTGGGATTGAAAATACGAAATGAAAAATTCAAATTTGGACAGATGAATTTTTTATAAATGTATATTTAATTTTTTTTCTTGATGAGTATCATATAAGTAAGGGAAGAAGTTAATTTTATATAGAAATTGGACAATGAAATGGGGGTTCAGTTTCAGTGTATTTTGTTCCTAACTTAAAAAAAAAAAAACAGATATCCTCTTGAACCGCTCTCAGCAGCTCTTCTCAAGTTGTACGGCCAAGTTTGCAGATGGACAGCAGTGCTCTGTGCCAGTTTTTGACATTACACACCAGACACCTCTGTGTGAAGAACATGCCAAAAAAATGGTAAGTTCAGATTTTATTTCAAACTTCCGGTAGCTATCCATAGTAGGAAATTCTTTGTGACAGTACAAACCGCGTGTGTATATAAATCACTGAAACAAAAGTTTTATGAAACAAGACTTACTTTTACTACCTGGTATCTTTTAGTCTGTTTTATTTCACTTAAATGCTGGTCCTTACCCACTGAATTAATTTCAGACTCTAATTTAAAAAAAAACCTTCTAGAAGATAGTAGTAGTTATCTAGATGTAATCATTTTGTTCATTACTATGTTCTATACCTCTCTTCTCTTTAAGATACATTTTCTTAATCGTAGCAGATTTTCCAAGGCTCTTTCTTTGCCCCATTTCTCTAGGTTTTTCCTTCTTATGTGCAATTCTGTAAATGTCTTGGGTATCTGATAAAATTTTGACCAAAAGCCAAACCTTTCTACAATTCTGTTTAACTTAATTATTGCTTTGGTTAGTGCTAGTATCATAAGCCCTAATTAATTCAGAATAATTTGAAGGAGAGACAAGTCTGAATTAGTGAAATATCTAAATTATATAATCATCTTAATTAAATGCATTTTTATTGCTTTCATCCATCAGACGCTTACTGAGTTCTGCTATTTGCAAGATATTGGCTAGGTACTTTGGTACTGAAAAGTTGAGTAAGACGGTTCTTGCCCTCTGTAAGCATTTTATGGTTTTCATAGGGTACATCAAGGAACTGCATGGGCATTGGGCAGGGACTGAACAGCTTAAGGTTTTGATCCTGCCTTTGCTGCTAAGTGTAAAACAAAGGTCCCTAGGTGGCACAAATGGTTTACACTCAACTGCTAATCTAAAGATTGGCAGTTTGAACCCACCCAGTGGTTCTGAGGGAGAAAAGACCTGGCAACCTGCTTCCATTAAGATTACAGCCAAGAAAACCCTATGGAGCAGTTCTACTCTGTATCACATGGGGTCACCATGAGTCGAAATGGACTCAGTGGCAGCTAACAACAAGTGTAAAACTGGAGACAGTGATTTAACTTTTTTGTACATCAGTTTCCTTGTCTGTAGTTCTCCAGCTTCTTTTCTTCCAAGAACTTCTTTTTTTTATGTTTCTTCTATGAACCATATGTTTTGAAAAATTTGTATGCTGAACTATCTGTCCCAATTAATGATACCATAATCTAACAGTCACCCAAGCTAGAAACCCTAGAGACATTTTATAGTTTTACATTCCCTTCATCCTTTCTGCACATACAGTGAACCATCAAATCCTGAGAAATCTGTCTTGAGAGGCCCTTACTACCATTCCCACTCCCATTGCCCTTGGCCATTTATATCTTGTATCAACTGTTGTAGTAGCTGTTCAATTGGACTTATTGTGTCTATTCACTTGCCTCTTCTATTGCTGCCAGGTGATTATCCTCATAAAAGAAATGTCAAATCGTGTTACTCCTCTCATCAAAAATGACTCCCCACTGCCTATAAAAAGTTTGAAAACCTTAACAGGGTATTCAAACCATACATGCCCTGGTCCCAAACTTATTTACTGCTTACTTTTATATATTACATCTCCCAGTATACCCAAGTGTCAGTCATACCCAGTTATTTACTGTTCCTTTTCTCATTTGTACTGTTTCCTTTAGCCTAGAATGACCTTCCCCCTTGCCTCAACCACTTACAAATCCTACTTACCTTTCAATCTCACAAAACTAAAAATAGTTGATTTTCCTTTTGTGCACCCATAGGAGATGTTTATATCGTTATTGCCCAATTTTCTCTGTACTATGTTTACGTATACTTGAACTTGTGTCTTTCCTGTTAGAGGGTAAGTTCTTTGGAGCACAAACTAAATTTTATTTTCTTTTTTTAAATTTTTTAAAATAATTTTTAATTTTTTAATAAACAACACCTTCCACAATGTTTTTAAATGTGGGGTGAACTCAGTATATATATACTGAATTAATTTGAATTAAAGGAACTTTTTGTTTAGTTGTTATTCGTTTTAGGCATACAATATATTTTAGGCATTACATAAAATATTAAGAGATGTAAGTATATTTTTAGGTAGTTTTAAGGTTTTTCCCATATAATCTCAGTGTAAAAATACTCATTTATTCATTCTAAAGGATAATTTCTTGAGAGGAGATAGCTCTCGTAAAGTTCAACACCAGCAGCAGAGGAAACCCAGGAAAAAAACCAAGCCTCCTGCACTTACCAAAAAACACAAGAAGAAAAGAAGGCGTGGACCTCGTAGACCCCAAAAACCCATTCCCCCTGCAGTGCCCCAAGGGAACCTCAGCATGCCCACCAGCGTCTCACTGCCAGTGGAGGCCTCCCAGATCCGGTCAGTGATACAGTTGGAATACACTTTTCCTTTACATCTTCTGATTGTTCTCAGAACAGCTAGCTTCATTTGGTACTCTCATGTTGGAGATAGACTACAGAAGCCTCACAGTATGTCAGTCTAGACTTTTTACAGTTTTTGATAGACCTTTTACCAAATATCTGAATGGATTAGATCTCAGATAAAGCTTTTGATTATGACAGAGTAGATGCTGAAATTGAGAATTTAATTTATACTCTCAGATTTTCCTGTTTTAACAAGAATTCTGTGTATGTTCCATCAGATAATATTTCATCCGAAATCTGATGCATTATTAATGTTGGCAAGGGTAAGCATTTTTGGCCAGATGACTGAGGCTTCTGTTTCCACTAAGCATTTCAGTTTTATGTTTGTTTATTTCATTTTTTTGTCATTATTATTTTGACCAGATTTGAAACTCTACTAAAAAGTATTAAAGTACATTTACTATACCAAATTGTGATTTGTTCCTCTAATTCGAAGTAAAAACATTATCTAGTAATGATTGTCGTCTCTTAATTTAAGGGTTAAGTTTGCAGATATGTGACTGTATACAGTGAGGTCTATCTTTTTGCAATGGTCATGCTTTCAGATTTCCTTCTGTGAAAGTAGGAAAAGAGGGACTCATTTTACATTAGGATTTCCCATGTTTGTATTCAACATAAAAAACTTAAATTGTGTTAGCTTCCCTTCATGAAGCCCTGGCAGCACAGTGGTCGAGAGCTTGGCTGCTAACCAAAAGATCAGCAGTTGGAATCCACCAGCCACTCCTTGGAAGCCCTATGGGGTAGTCCAGCTCTGTCCTGTAGGGTCGCTATGAGTTGGAATCGACTCGACAGCAACAGGTTACGGGTTTTTAACTTCCCTTCATGTTCACTGGACTTGTCTTGGTGACATTGGTGTGAAGGTGAAAGGGGAGTGGTGGGACCAACGATGTCATCTTCCCCAGGAGCCCATCCACACCAGAGCTGAGTGCTGATGAGTTGCCAGATGACATTGCCAATGAGATCACTGACATTCCACATGACTTGGAATTGAACCAGGAGGACTTTTCAGACGTCCTGCCACGGCTACCTGATGACTTACAAGATTTTGATTTTTTTGAAGGTATGGTCAATATTTTGATCCAAGAAAAACTGATTTTTAAAACAAATTTATAAGAAGGGACATAATTTTATTGAGATGTGTTTGAAGTGTTATTCCTCACATTTAATGCCTTCTGTAAATAGAAGATATAATACTGCTAAAGGTATTTTACTTTTTTCAGAAGGTGAGGAATGTGCTGTTTGTCTAACCATATTATAGGCTTAGCAGATTTATAGTTTGATACCTATGTTTGTAATTTTATTCCTTCAAAATGAATAGTTTTGCTTTAGTTTATTTTCGAGCGAAGAAATTTTAAACATGAGTTTATTAAAGCCTTTTGGAGTTTGCCCTAATTGTAACATCCTGCTCTCTACTTCAGTTGAAGTGCAGTTTTCTAAAAGGAAATTTGCTTAATCCCACCAATTTCCCAGTGCTTTGTGGGGAAATCTTTTATACTCCTCTTGTTGTAGTGATTAGGTGCTGTCGAGTTGGTTCCAACTCATAGCAACCCTATGTACAACAGAACGCAACACTGCCCAGTCCTGCACCATCCTCACAATCGTAGCTATGCTTGAGCCCACTGTTGCAGCCACTGTGTCAGTCCATCTCGTCCAGGGTCTTCCTCTTTTTCGCTGACCCTCTACTTTACCGAACATGATGTCCTTCTCCAGGGGCTGGTCCCTCCTGCTAACTTGTCCAAAGTATGTGAGACGAAGTCTCGCCATCCTTGCTTCTAAGGAGCGTTCTGGCTGTATTTCTTCCAAGACAAATTTGTTCATTCTTCTGGCAGTCCATGGTATATTCAATATTCTTCACCAACACCATAATTCAAAGGCATCAATTCTTTGGCCTTCCTTATTCATTGTCCAGCTTTCACATGCATATGAGGCGATTGAAAACACCCTTGCTTAGGACAGGCGCACCTTAGTCCTCAAAGCTACATCTTTGCTTTTCAACAATTTAAAGAGGTCTTTTGCAGCAGATTTGCCCATTGCAATGTGTCATTTGATTTCTTGACTGCTATTTCCATGGGTGTTGATTGTGGATACAAGTAAAATGCACTCCTTGACAACTTCAGTCTTTTCTCCACTTATCATGAAGTTACTTATTGGTCCAGTTGTGAGGATTTTTGTTTCTTTATGTTGAGGTGTAATCCATACTGAAGGCTGTAGTCTTTGATCCTCATCAGTAGGTGCTTCAAGTCCTCTTCCTTTCAGCAAGCAACGTTGTGTCATCTGCATAATGCAGGCTGTTAATGAGTCTTTCTCCAATCCTGATGCTGCTTTCTTCTTCATATAGTCCAGTTTCTCAAATTATTTGCTCAGCATACAAATTGAGTAAATATGATGAAAAGACTCAACCCTGACACACACCTTTCCTGACTTTAAACCACACAGTATCCCCTTGTTCTCTTAGAATTGAATATTTTTGTGGCGATAAAATTCCTAACAATAGATTTTTAATACTGAAATCAAATCAAAGTAGGTCTGTGGGTTTCCATTTTGTAAAAATTATTTAGAAGGGTGAGAAGAGTGAGAGGGGAGCATTAGAGAGTAAAGCAAAAGCATTTTGAAAGGTAACCTGTGAAATGAGCTGAGTACTTAGTGTTGTGCTGAAGTCTACGTATAAATTTCTGTGTTCTAGTCTTCCACACCTATTCCTTCAGCTGGAAGAGACCAGAAGCAGAAAAACCAAGCTTGGACCTTTCCCACACAACCACCTGTCTCAAATCTGATCTGATATGTTTTCTATTTTAATAACTTTAATTATAGGTAAAAACCTATGTGTAATCAAAGTCACCATGAATTTTAAATTGGTAATCATAGGAATTCTTAAGAATTTAACACTTCGATAAGTTTTTTGTGATTATTGTAAATAAACTGAAAATGGTAATTCAAGTTCCAGGACAGCTTGGCACTTCAGACCTGTGCTACAAATTAATATTTCACATTTTCCTTCCAATGCAAGCCTTAAAAACTGTTCTTTCAACAGGGACTCTCTTTCAATAAAATATGGTTAAAAATAATTAAAATGTGTGATTTTTGTCATATAGGATAGATAAAAATTATACTGATTCTTGATGACTTTTGTTTACCCAGGAAAGAATGGAGACCTCCTCCCAACTACCGAAGAGGCCGAGGAACTTGAACGGGCCTTGCAGGCAGTAACTTCTCTCGAGTGCCTGAGTACCATTGGGGTACTTACCCAGTCAGATGGTGTGCCAGTCCAGGAGTTGTCAGATAGAGGAATAGGGGTGTTCTCCACAGGTACTGGAGCTTCAGGAATTCAGTCCTTGAGCCGAGAAGTAAACACAGACCTAGGGGAGCTATTGAATGGGCATATAGTACATGATAATTTTTCTAGTCTAGAGCTAGATGAGAACCTGCTCCGTTCTGCTACCTTGTCTAACCCACCTACACCCCTGGCAGGGCAGATCCAGGGGCAGTTCTCTGCCCCAGCCAACGTTGGCCTTACTTCTGCCACTCTGATCAGCCAGAGTGCACTTGGGGAGAGAGCCTTCCCAGGACAGTTTCATGGACTTCATGATGGCAGCCATGCCTCCCAGAGGCCACATCCTGCCCAGCTGCTGAGCAAGGCAGATGACCTAATCACCTCACGACAGCAATACAGCAGTGATCATTCACACTCCTCTCCCCATGGAAGCCATTATGATAGTGAGCATGTGCCGTCTCCCTACAGTGACCATATCACCTCTCCCCACACAACATCTTACTCTGGTGATAATATGGCAGCTACCTTCTCAGCAGAGATGCCCATCATGGCACAGCACTTGCTCCCAACCCAACTTGAGGTGCCACTTGGAGGAGTGGTAAACCCCAGAACTCACTGGGGTAATCTCCCTGTCAACCTTGGAGATCCCTCGCCATTTAGCAACCTTCTCGGCGCAGATGGACATCTTCTTTCCACTTCCCTATCCACGCCACCCACCACCTCGAACTCAGAGACCACACAGCCTGCCTTCGCCACCGTGACCCCCAGCAGTTCCAGTGTGCTTCCGGGGTTACCGCAGACCAGCTTCAGTGGCATGGGGCCTTCTGCTGAACTAATGGCCTCCACCTCTCCCAAGCAGCAACTCCCTCAGTTCAGCGCAGCCTTTGGCCACCAGCTGAGTTCTCACAGTGGCATTCCTAAGGACCTGCAGCCCAGCCACAGCTCTATAGCCCCTCCTACAGGCTTCACAGTAACAGGTGCCACAGCTACAAGTACCAATAATGTATCTTCTCCCTTTACCTCCCCTAACTGAGCATGTCTGTGTGTTTGCAGGCAGGTGGGGAACCCCGTGTTTTCTATCTTTATTTCCTCTTTAACACCCCTCTCCCTTTTCCTAAAGAAGATTTTAAAATAACAGATGGGGACTAGAGGGCAACCCGCTTTCCCAGTTAAACAAGTTGCCCTGCAGTGGACCTTGCTTCAGTGTTCACATGTGCTCCTTTGCACTGGTGCTCATTCCCTCCTGGAAGGTTCCCTCGACCCCCGTGGTTTCCTTAGTGGTTCAGCACAGTGACTGGATAGAATCGAGTTTTAGCAGTGAGTCCTAGAAGTGGAAGATACCTCACATTACCAGTGCCCTTTACTATTTCCTAGTATTCAAATCAATGCTTTCCATTCTATTGCCAGATTTTTAAATAAGTGATTTTAGATAGAATGATTCTATTAATTGCGTTCCTGTGTAAGAGATAGCAAATGGTGTATAGAGGCAGGTGAAGGCTCTGACTTAGCAGCAACCGCTGAACACCACATTGAGACCAGAATTCCATTCCTAATTGTGATCATGTTTAACTAAAGAGAAAAAAAATTAATCTTTTGATCACATGTGTCTAAGTGTGTGCCTGCACGTGTGTTTTTGTGCAGGGCAGGAAGAGCTGTCCCATTGTTGTTATTTTTTTTCCTAATGAGTGTAAGGCTCTTATTTTTCTCCTTTCCCACTCCTGACAGCCTTAAGAAGGTTGGTCATCCTTTCCCATTGAGTTAACTAAAGTTTCCTGAATAGAGAGGGTGGTGATCTGGTTGTGTGAATAGCACGACCCTTTTCTACTAAAGGTTAGCCCAAGGAGAAATGGAACACAAAAAGCCGAATTTGTGTCAGTGACGTGGGGATGTCAGGAAAAGCTTGTCTACAGTGACTGCAAGGGTGCTGAGGTTCTGAGGCCCGTGGTCATGCCGCCTTTTCCGACCTGCATTTCTTTCTAAGTCTGTCTCATGGATACATTTGCAAGATATAATTAAAGAAAACATTTTGCTGTGAAAAGCAAAATAGGTCAGATAGGTCTGGAAAGAGGGATCTGTGAACTCCTTGATCCATCTTTTGCTTTTGAATTTTTCATGTTTACAGTGGTGATTCTTTGTTGAGATTTATAAAATGCTGAAGACACTTGTAGAACCAGTGTATCAGTTGTGAAACGATGTATAATGTCTGAAGGATACACATTTTAAAGTTTCTTTCAAAGCAGAATATGGAAATTAGACATAAATTTTACCTATCCTTTGGTACTTTTACAATAATTTAATTATTTAGGTTTAAGTAAATTTGGAAATAGTTTGGGGGAATTTTTAAAAAGTACCAGGATTTTAGGATTAAAAATTGTATTGGGTAGTTCAGTAAGTTGATGACTTTGAAATGAATATGTGAGGTTTCTTCTTGCCTGCTTTTTTTTTTTTCCCCCAGAGAAGGGTGGAACTAGATTTTTAAGATACCTGTCCTCTGCTTTTGCTGAGAAGTTTCACTGTCCCCTAGATACCATTGGCTATTTATACCCAAGTCTAGTCTAACTTCCATATATATATATTTTAAAAGATGAGTAGAAGAGAACATATCTTAATGATGTGATACAATAATTTGTTTGTCAGGGAATGTTTAAGCTTGATTCTGTTCTTCTAATAGGTAAAGATTTGGATGTATTTTCTTACTTCCTATATGTGTTCTCTTTATGCCATGGTAGTTCTAATCAACCCCTTCTTTTGGAAGCTTTTCTTTCTTTGCTTTGTAAAGGAATGATGGTGATCAGCAGGCATGATGCGGATAACCACGTGCCTGGGATTATGGAGGGGAAATGTCACATGACTGTATGAAATCATTATATGCCCTATTTTGTATTTATTGAAGCTTCTTTTTGTGGGCCAAAAATATGTTTGTAATATATTGAGTTTTTTTTTTTTTAATCATGAAAATTGATTGGAAGATTTATTTTTAATAACTTTGCCTTTTTTGCAGATTGAGAAATTTCTAAATTATAAATTATGTCACAAAGCAAAATTATATTTGGTATCACCATAAATTTCTATTCTGAATGGTGAGAACAGATCATTTGACTAATCCTCACCTGTGAACCTTGTTAGTAAGCTTTTTTATTTTAATGTACTATAATGGAATGATTATGAGTAATTTCCTCTGTTCAAAAGTGTCATTTAGTTTGCAAAAACAATTTGCTGTCCCGTTACAAACACTAGATAACTGTCCATACCCAGTGATTCGGTTTAGTCTCCATGTGTACTAACTAAAGGTTGTAGCAGAGCAGCACATTAACTTCCCTATCGTCCCTTCTCTAACAGTGAAGGGAAATTCAGGGGTAGTAGATTTGAACTTTTCTGACTATTTGTCCCTCACGTTAGCTGCTTAAAATTCTTCAGTTATCAAAACTGAGTTTGCAGTAAGTTGCACGTTTTATTGTTTGCAGTTTTCTGTTTTATATGCATTTAAAAGCCCTTCTCTGCTTTCTAGTAAGGAGGCATGAAATGATGATCAGGAATGTTGCCAGTTATAGCTTCACACCAAAAACTTTGAGTAAATTCATTTTTGTTTAGATGCCCAGGATGATAGCTGAGGAAAGGGCATCCTCAGATGGTACCTGTGTAGGTTTGAGGAATTACAAAAACAAGTTTTCCCTCTCATATCATCTTCTTCAAAACAAGTGTATCCAAGCTTGCAATTTGCTTTGCTCTTGCCATTTGTCGTGAGCCCCATTTTGGAAGAGAAGAACATCTGTAAGCCCAGAGAGATACATCATGTTTTTCTTCTAGCTAATGGAGCAATTCTAGTCTATTAGTAGTAGGTTTACTATTAATATGTAAAGGGAGGAATGAAGTGTCTTTTACTCCAAAAATATGAAAATGAGCATCTTTTAAAATAGCATTTGTGCTATCATAAGGCAATACTGGAATCAAAAATAAATCTTTTATAAGGTCCTAATTAGGTGGAAACTAGACTTTATTCTAATGTTAAATGCATGAGAAGCAGTGGCAAAGAAGGTTCACTCTTTCTGCAGTTCTTTGGGACCATTTATAAAGGCCAGTTAGATTCTGTTAATGTGATAAAGAGTGGCAGTTAATGGATACATTCTATGCTCTGAGAATCAGAATTCCATTCTTATGTATTCTATTCACTGGCTGTGATCTATAGCATCTGAAGAAGAGACGTGTTTTCTTTCCTTTACTCTCTCTACATAATTATTAATATTATTTTAATTAAAGTACTTAGTTTTTTTCCTGTAAAAATGGCTTAGCAATTTGCACATCTGGGTAGGTTATGTAGCTAGTAAACAATCCACAATAGTAAATAGCAATTACGTTTAACCCACCAAGTGACAGATTTTCTAATTATCGTTGTGTACTTTATATGGCGAAAGATTATTTTCTCTAGTAACCTACCATGCGTGATATAACTGTTTTATAAATGACTTCCTGAGCAATTTCATGTTGGCAAGCAGTGTGGCATGTCTAGTGTCCTTCCATGAGAAGATTATAATTTAATGAGAAACAAATAGTGGGTATGGAGATTGAGTTGGAAAAAAAATTTTTTTTTCTTTTCCTTAAAATTGGTATTACTATCCTTAGTGGCTTAAGGCTAAAGAAATCTAATACTTTATCTTTGCCAAATAATTATTTATAAGACTTATTTCTTAAATAGCCAATTATTTAAAAGCCCATTCTCTCAATGTTGAGAAACGTCATTTTCTGTGACTAACACTAAAGCTTTTCCTTATCAGAGCTCATATGCAGTCCATGATCACAACCCAAAAAGGCGAAGACAGCTGTTTGATTAGATAGGAAATTATGTCCTTGATACATAGAGGTACCCCAGCTCTATAATTTTCTTCTTATATGAAAAATTCATATTCCTATTGACTGGCACCACTCAGTTTTTATAAATTGGCACTAGAGTTTGAGCCCATGTAGGTAAATTCTATGCAGTGAGTTCATTGGTATCTGCCTGAAATCCTTCCTGCGCCCTTAAGCATGATGTGAGGTGGTGGTGATGGTAGATAGACGGATCAGGAGAGTGAGGCCTTTTCTTCAAGTTAGCTTAAAAGGTTGTTGTGAATTGATATTTCAAAAAGGTGGGGATATTAATAACACTAATTATTCAATAGGTTTGAAATTCATTTAAAAATTTAGGTGCCTTTTCAATTCATTTTTTTTCTTTTTAGCCTTCTTTTAAAATTCTCCTAAAAATTCTTAATCTGGTATATAGAATAATCTAATATTGTATTCTCATAAATGGTCAACAGAACTCTGAAGTTTAATGAGGCAATTTGAAGGATTCCTTGAAAGAAAATGTAGTCATACTGAACAGTCTTCATTTGTGTCTGTTCCATCACCAACATCTGCATTGCTCCAAGGATTTTTTCCTAACAAGAAATATATTTCTTAGAGGAATATATATATATATATATACACATACACACACATACATACATACATATATATATATGTATGAAAGAACATAGACTTTTTCTGTCAATAAATTTGAAATAATTGAACCTTCCTTGGCATTCTATAGAAAAGTAAAATAAAGATTTCTTAATATCTTGAACTTTATAAGCCTTCCTGGATATCGTATCTTCGAGAAAACCAAAACCCATGTTTGGTAGATTAAAGAAACATTCTAAAAAATTTGTAATGAAACACCAGTGAAGAGCAAATTTGGTTATCTGTTAAGCATTTTCCCCTGACCAGTGAGTTAGGAAAGAAAACATAAAACATATATGAATAGTTATGTCTTCTTAGTAACCAGTACTAAACTTGTGGGTCAACTTAGGGAGCCTTATTTCTAAGTAGCAAAAATATTTTTTCACTCCAGTTCTTATGTTTTCTTAGCTTTCTTCTCTCTGCACTGTGATACAGCACTAACAAAGGAAATGTGGCATTTCAGAGAGATAGAACAGATTGAGGGTGACTTTCTTTACTCTGGTGGTGCAGTGGTTAAGGAGCGCAGCTGCTAACCAGAAAGTTAGCAGTTCAAATCCACCAGCCACTCCTTGGAACCCCTATGGGGCAGTTCTACTCTGTCCTATAGGGTTGCTAATTAGTTGAAATCTACTCGACAGCAATGGGTTTGGTTTTTGTTTGTCTGTTTTACGCTAGGTTCCCTAATATTGGGAATGTTGGCTAGTTGGAATGGCAGAGTCTTTGGTGATTTAACGTTTACTCTGAATAACAATCTTACAAGAGAAAAACCTCTCTCTTAGTAAGCTACATAGGGCAGCACAGCTTTCCTTCTTCACTTCTGCCCACTTGCCTCTACCCACCCCAATACTAAAGTATGCACGTGAATACACATGATCTATACTGATCCTGGCCTAAGAGTAATAGAGTCCTCTTATTTCACTTGTTTTTGTTTGTTTTTTTAAGCTGGGGACCACTGAAGTAAGCTCTATATGCACCCAAAGTTCCCCTTGGAAAATTTTTCAGCATGCAGTACAGAAGGCTCCAATGCAGCTAAATGCCACACTATTGCTTTTACTTGGGGAATAAACTGATTTGCCCTGAAATGACTCCAATCTGCATCATTAAGGTACAGTTGGCTCCAATGGATAGTGCTGAAATGGTGGCAAGTTTGATACTTGTTGACATTGGCTTCATCTGTTTGGAAGGGTTGAATCAGTTCCTCTCAACAGTGATAATTCTTTTCACTGTATAGTGTTGAGTATGTCTCAGGGATTCCTTGTGGAAGTTAGGGCAGTTTTTGTTTTTTTGCTTTTTTTTTTAAAATAAAATAATTTTCAAAGAAACTAAAGGTGACTCATCATTGAAGAGAGAGCAAGAAAGAGAAAACATTTGGTTTCATAGTCCACAGTGTCTTGCATAGGACTTTTTTCCTTTCTCCTTCAGGCTCTCATCTCAGCTTCAGCATACAAAATCCTTTCCCATCACGCACAGCTTTAAAACTTTTATTTAAAAATTTACTTCCCCAATGAGCTTTCAGAATACTTATTGTAGATTTTAAGAGAAAAGGTATATTAATTTATGCTATTAACATCACCTCATAAATTATAAGTTTTATACTAAAGCTGTATTGAGTGTAATGAATTATGTTGCCTATGTGTTTAATAGCTAAAAAGTTATATATGAGCTTTTTTTTTTTTTTTTTTTTAACAAAGCAAACTAGTGAAGCACCTTTTTACACTGGATCTCTGCCGTGTCAAGGTGTATAGCTGTCCTTTGCTACCTTGCAGATTAGAAAATAAAAGGATATCCTGAGGCCTCAAAATGTAGAACACCTTTAGACCATTTATTACTGCTCATAGAACTGTTGAGAATCATCTTCTTTAGTAAATGATCTGTGGTTTACACTTAAGATGGCTAGAAGCTTAGTTACAGGGTAAATAGAAATACGTAGATCAAGTAAAACTCCAACTACTGTAGCTGGAATTTGTAAACTAAGTTTTTAAGACCTCTTTTATTTCCTATGGATTTATTCTTTAATTTACAGTTCACCTGTAAGTTGGGAAGTAAAATAGAGAGAAAATATTAAATCTAGATGTTCTCAGTGTGTTATTCAGGAACTTTTTATCCCTCCTCACTAAGGAATTCCCACTGTGACTTAAAAATAAAATTAAATTACTTATGTGCATGTATATGTCTGTGTTTTTACACACATGCAAAAATATACATTGGAGGCATATGTGTGAGAGATATGAATGTGTGTTTAGGTAAAAAATAGGGAAAGGTAACAGAATGTATTGTAGAAATACAATTTATTTAGTTGAGAGTATTGGAGTTACTTTCTCATTGTCTCTGTAGTATAAATACACCAAATTCTTCATTACGTTATGTTAAAAGGCTAGTTCTGATATCATGTATATTTTATTTTAACCTTTTGATTAACTTATATTATGTTGTGTTTTTAAAATGACACAAGAAACAGCAAGTTCTAAGACCAGCCTCTCGCTTTTGATCATGAAAATAGAGACAGACAGACCAGCCCAGACATTAACTGTGTTTATTTCTTGGGGTGGTGGGACCAGAGATCTGTTGAACCTTTTTTATGTTAATAATAGATTTCTTCATACTTTGAGTTAGAAAATATTGTTGATCATCTTTTCTTTGTGAACTTAAGAAAAATTATAGGCTTTTAATTTTATAAAGAATGCCATTTTTTTGAAGGGGCTACTTTGTTTAAAGAGTTGGTGGGATCATTTCACCATTGCATATTTCAAAACTGGGGTGATTTCAGTTATTTCCAAAATTTTTTAAAAAATTACTCAGTTTTGCTATTATTTATGAGGTTAGAGTGTCTCCCTCCCCCATATTTTGGCTATAGGAAAAATTATACTATCTTTGACTTTTACCTAATTCATATGGAATTTAAAAAAATACATTCCTATATTTTGAGGCTTAAGTTGCTATACGTTCATTACAGAAGCATCAGATGGTCTAAAATAGTCAAAAGTAGATTTGTTTTTAAATGTTCCAATCATATTTATTTTAATATAAAAAATTCATGTACTTTGAAATATGTCAAAACAGCTTCTTATAATACACCTGAATTTGTAATTGTCTTTGAAGGCTCGTTTACTTCATTTTAAATACAGTCAAGACCTAGGAAAGCTTTATATGTTGTTCTTTTTTGCAGTTGTATTTTTGCAGCATCTCCCAGTTTCATTCACTCTTGCTTTGTGGATTTAAAAAAAAAAAAATCTGCATATTTCTTGTACATATGCATGCAAATGAAAGAAGGGAGTTTGTATTGGTGCCATTTCTCCCTTCAGTTGCTGGTTAATGGGATTTGCTAGAAAAAATTCCCCCTGATTGAAGGGTGAAAATAGACCCTTTGTGTATATCTGTACAGAGATATATGTATATGGGATGTAGTGGCACTTTGCTGAATGTGAACTTGCCTTGTCCATGGAATGATTGAAAAGTATTATGTTTATTTATCCATTTGTATAAATCTATATATACACGTATGTATATGTGTGTGTATAGATAAAGCTATATACATATATTTCCCTAAAAAAATGTGTGTGTATAATAGGTAAACAGCCTTTATTAAGCAAGATTATATGTCTATGGAAATTCTGGATTATGCTGTGAACCAGAGGAGGTGATGGTCTACAGCACATCATTAGAGCATACTAAAATGGAAGTCCTTTGGATTATAGTCTTGTTTATGGTTATTATAAATTAATACCTGTCAGAACTATTGCCAATTCCACTATTCTTCATCATCTTCACTACCTTCTACTAGTCAATCTCTCATCATTTTAAAATCATACTCAATTATGTTCTTTCCCCTTAATTATATACTTTCTAGCTAAAAGCATTTGGCTTAAGCATATTCTTTCATTAACATCTCAGTTGTTTATTTTAAAGGTCTTTATCTCTGAAATTCCCCAGAAGATACAAATTTTGGTAATATTTTCTATAGTAATTTTGAGAATTTAGTATTAATTGTCTCAAAAAAAAAAAAAAGCCAGCCTTCAGACAAAACTAATTTGAAAGTTTTACCTAGATAATTTTAGGACATTAACTTAAATTGAAAAAGAATGTAATTTTGATTTTTATGATTGATATTAGTATTAAGCTCATTTCCTCACTTACTGTCATAATTTGTCATTTTAAAATTTTGGTTTATTTTGTAGTTTATCATAAATTTACCATTTTCATTTCAATGGGAAGCCTGCCAGGTTACATGTAAGCCTCTTGAATTCTGTAACTAACTCATTTTACTCATGAAACTGCTTTAGTGAATTCTTGTGTAATGAATTCTGCTATATTTCCTTTTGACTTTTCTCACAGTTGTGACATTCTGTTTTAACTTTGCTGCAGCTCTCTAGAAAACTTGCATCCCTATATATTGTGCCTTTAAAGCTCTTATGCACACACAGACAAAAGTGTATATATACATGTTGGAGCATGTGTACATATACTTTCGTATATACTCACACAGTATGTCTCTAGTATATATTGTGGGAGTGAATATATAAATATTCAAAGGCAATGAAATGTTGCTGTCTAGATATATATGTATATAAGTAGTGTTAATATACTGTATATACACATGTATATGTATGAGTTTCAAATGGCAATCTTCTACATTTAGCAAAATGCTGCCCCTACTGGAATATTGTCACTGCAATGGCAGTTGTATGTAATGATTTAAAATACATTATTGAAAATTATTTAAAGAACATTTGAAAGTCTCATCTAAAGACATCCACACATTATTTATTTATCTTCCTTTTCCTTTTATTGCTACGTTTTTTAACTGAAAGGGAGACTGTCATTTAAAAACAATGCCATCTGTGCTGTGGCAGTAACAAAGAGCTGGAGATTCACTAGAGGAACCTTGTGCGTTTTTCCTCTCTGAAATGAAGATGTACCACAACGCAGCCTATTTATTTCAGTTATAAAGCTATCCTGATATTTCCAGTAGTTTGTTTATGCCATCTATCATTTCCTAGATCAACTTAATTCACCAGTTTGCCTCTTCCTTTCATTAATAAATAATGATCATTGAGATCATTTTGCCAGAAGGAAGTTAACTACTCTAGCTGCAGGGAAATACATCACCTAATTATCATTCTGCCTTGTTCAAAATTCAACTTTGAGAGAAGGCAGATCTCTCATGAAGCTGTCTTAAGCATGTTTTTCATTTATTTGCTTAAAGGCCTTCGCCGAACATGTTTTTTGAAAGAACTCTGAGTCTGCATGTACATAATATAGATTTAATTCTTATTCCCTACAGCTTCAGGTATTTTTCATCAGTTTGACATACTGAATGCAAGAACATTATGAAAAAAACTATTATTATTTTGTAATGAGTTGGCAGCAGATTACATCTCAAGACCTTACAGAGAGAAGAAGGTAGATGGACAGTCCTAGATGGTAAGATGTTATAAAAAGCAGTGGAGTAAGCATACCCCTGAAGACTATACTAGAGAGTTAGGGTTTGGATGATATTACAGAGTAGCTTAGCCAGAACTTGATATCAGAAGCAGCCTTTAACAAAAATCCTCTTGGCAATTGTATGGTATTAACTAGAGTACTGAAGTGTAAATTGAAACCAAGTTCCAGTGGGAAATCAAAGGTGAGGTAGCTTATTTAAAACCAGTAAAGGACAGACAGGTTGCACATTTTTACAGTCTCTTCTAACAAAGTAACTGCACGGTAGCAAGGACTAGCAGTTCTCAAACCCCTTCTTTTGTGTCCTCATTCACCTTGGCACACAAGTATGTTTAATAGGCCATACATTAAAAATATTTACAAAAAAAAAAAAACTGCTTAAAGGGAACTTACAAACTGAGACTCTTCTCTGTGTTAATAGTGGCTGGAAGCTTAGTTATATGCACAAAAGCTGGAGCTACTTGTTTCTACACAGACTGTAGGAGCAAGATGAGATAGGCAGGTTTTGGTAAGAGCCTCTAGTTCTGATGGAAAGGCACTCTGTGGTATGGAGTGCAGTGTTGCTGGGGGAGACCACATTTTGGTAAATGATGGGTTTTTGGTTTGTAATTTCCCTTTAAACAAGAAGAGATGGCTCACATTTTCCATATATATATCTCAATGAATGTACTGTATTACTGTTTTAAAAATTTGATGAAATAATAATGGATTGGTCTCCTTTTGTTATCTGGTCCTTGTTTAATTTGTTTAAGGGTTTTTGTATACAAAAGTTTACATTTTTATGTATATTTTTCTTGTGTAAAAACTGATGTAATATGTGTATAAAAACACTGTATGTATTATCTGTATATAGTGTGACAAAATGATTTTTTTCTTTCTTTCTTTTGGATGTATTAATAAATCTTGCTGTGAAGTAGCTTTGTTTTTAGTGTAGTTTCCTGTGCCTGGATGTTGGTGGAAAGTGCTAATCCAGGGTAGGTGTATTTTTCTTTTTTTATTGGAATATAGCCAACCAACCAACCAGTTGCTGTTGAATTGATTCCGACACGGTATAGTAAATGTTTTTTATATCTTATGTTTTATCAAGAAATCTAGGGAGATATCACGTGGTTTCTTTATGGTTAGACTAACAATGATTAATTTTCAGAACATCTGTGAATCAATGAAATGCTGCTAAAAGTGACTTTGATATGGTATCTGTCTTAGTTATCTAGTGCTGTTGTAACAGAAATACCACAAGTGGATGGCTTTAACAAAGAGAAATTTATTTTCTCACAGTCTGGTAGGCTAGAAGTCCAAATTCAGGACATCAGCTCCAGGGGAAGACTTTGTCTGTCAGCTCTGGAGGAAGGTCCTTGTCATCAATCTTCCCCTGGTCTAGGAGCTTCTCTGCACAGGAACCCCGGGTCCAAAGGACACGCTCTGCTCCTGGCACTGCTTTCTTGGTGATATGAGGTTTCCCTGTCTCTCTGCTTGCTTCTCTCTTTTATATCTCAAAAGAGATTGGCTTAAGACACTATCTAAACTTGTAGATCTCATCAGTATAACTGCCACTAATCCATCTCATTAACATCATAGTGTTAGGATTTACAACACATACGGAAATCACATCAGATGACAGAATGTTAGACAATCATACGATACTGGGAATCCTGACCTAGCTTAGTTGACAGATATTTTTGGGGGACACAGTTCAATCCGTGACAGTGTCCAACCTTGATACCCAACTGCAGCTTGCATCTGAAATTGTTATCTGCTGTAATGGAGGTCTTACAAGCCAGTTCCTATTTCTTTTTATCAGAAGCCCATTCTCTCTTCATTTTCATAGCTTCACAAATATAAGGACAACTATATATTGTATAACCAAAGTTAAAAAAAATTATCTCTTTAAGGAGAGTGGTGAGGAATAGAATGGAGAAGTTAGTAGGGGTGAGAGCATAATGAGCATGGAAGGCTAGAATAGTCAGTGGGACAAGAGAGTGGTGATCAGCTGTGATTTGGGAAGATTGGTGTTGGGATTTAAGAGATTGAGGTTGGTCGCAGGGAGATGAATTAGGGGGTGGCTACTGCAATAGTTTAGGCTAGATAATAAGTCTGAAACTAGTTGTGCCAATAGAAATGTAAAGGAAGTGAGAATTCAAAAGGACCTGGAAACAGTGATTACATGTTAGCGGCAGCGAGGAGGAGGAATCAAAAGAGGTTTTACCCCTGGGTTTCTGGAAGAATGGTGATGCCAGTGGCAGAAGTGGGCAGAACCACTCTCAGCACGCTCCTCAGTTTTGAGAGAGGCAATGAGTTTTGAATATATAGTCAAGTACCGCGTAACGTCCATTTGGGTAACATCCAACCGCATATATGTCCATGGTACCATAAGGGTATAGAGTTCAGAAATCTCAATCAGAGAATGGAATGTAGCAAATTTAGGCATGTCAGACTCTACAATCAGGAAGATCCTCACAAACAAACAAAAGTCCTCCAAGCTGTTAAGCTACAAGAGTAAAGAAAATGTGAGAGGGACCTATATCAGATATGGAGAAATAGCTGATGACGTGAATTGAGGACCAAACACAAAAGCAAATCCCTCTCAGCACATTGACAAACAATTGCTAAGCCACGAAGTTTGTATGAGATACTTAAAGAAAAAGCAGGACCAGACTACGATATCCAGTTTAGTGTTAGCTCTGGGTGGTTCAAACACTTCAAACAACGTTTTTCACTGCATAATGTGAAAGTGAGTGGTGAGTCTGCGAGTGCTGATGTGAAGGCAGTAGCGGAATTTGTTGAAACATTAGATAAACTAATTGTAGGAGGCTATTTTCCCCAGCAAATTTTTAATATGGACGAAACATTTATATTCTGGAAGCGAATGCCTGAAAGGACCTTCACTCATAATATGGTGTTCACACAAAACGTTATCGTAGATGTTAAGTGACGCATACCTGTACAAAGTTTGAATTGGGAGCGGGGGCATCCTGGCGGAGATGGCCAACTGATAGTTGTAGTTAGGGCTCAGAAGAGAAGCCCAAGGCAAAGACAGATTTGGAAGCTATGGGCATAGAGTTGAAGGTTGAAGTTGTAAATGGTCAAGGACAGATATTTGGGGAACGGTTCTGTGTAATCTTATTTTATTTACAGATCCCCCCCCACCAAAAAGCTTAGTTTTCCCAAAGTCTCCCAGCTAGCAAACTATGGAGCTGGTATTCAAACGCAATCAGGTCGACAGCCCTCCCGCACAGTTTGTTAGGAGTGATGGTGTTCTGGAAAGTCAGCACCTCCCCCTATCCTGGCCTAGAGAGGGACTCTGGGCTTGTGTTCTTCCCTTATCCTCACACACTCATTGTAATGACTTGTTCTTGTTTGCCTCACCTTCTGGAATGTTCATTCCAGTGTCTACATCATTAACTCCTGGAACCCCAGACTCTAGCACAGTGTACTTGCCCATAGTCAGCCCACAATAAATAACTGAATGAAGTTAGTACTCTGAAGAAGTTTATAAATAGAAAGGATGGAGGTTTGAAGAGACTTAGAGACTTTACAAGTTCTATAGACTTATAGGATCTAATGATGGGCAGTATAGCACTTGGTTAAGGCTGTGGACTTTGGAACAAGACTGCCTTGCTAATCTTGACACCATCATTTAGGAGCTGTGTGATCTTGGGCAAGTCACTTAACCTCTCTGTTTCAGTTTCTTCATCTGTAAAATGCATTGGGAGTATTGACATGATACAATCCTTATAAAGCACTTAGAATCATCCCTGGCATGTATTAATATGCACTTGGTAAATTTTAGTTGTTAATTAACTTGATGGCAACAGGTTATCCTCATTTTATACCTAGAGGAAAAGATTGAAGATACTAACAAAATGGACTAATTCCTTGAAGACGCAGATGCTGGACAAATTATTTTACAAGCTGTTCCGGTGAAGAGGGGCGACACTGTGGCAGCTCTGTCTGAAAGGGTGAAAGCAGCAGAACATAAGATATTCCCTGCGGCCCTCCAGCTGGTGGCCAGCAGGACGGTCCAGCATGGTGAAAATGGCAAGATCTGTTGGGTTGAAGAGGAATGACACCTCCTAGTTATTCAGAAACGGAGCCAGTTTTGGAAGAACTGGGTCAGAGGGCGAAGCCTCAACTCAGAAATGGGGCCAGTTTTGAAAGAATTATGGCTATTTGTATGGTGGCTTTTTATCATAGACTCAGGCCAGAAGAAAAACTACTAAAAGAGAATTTTACCCTTAAAAAAAAGCAGGGGGAGGCTAATTCCTGAAGTAGATGCTTAGGGGAGACTAGAGGGGGAAATGAACAAAGGAACCAGGGGTTAACTATGGAGAACCAAAAAAAAGAAAAAAAAAACCCATTGCGATCAAGTTGATTCTGACTCATAGCGACCCTAAAGGACAGAGTAGAACTGCCCCATAGGGTTTCCAAGGAGTGGATGGTGAATTTGAACTGCTGTCCTTTTGGTTAACAGCTGAGATCTTAACCACTGTGCCACGAGAGCCCCAACTATGGAAAAGGAGGATGGGAATAGGCAGGAAGCTTGGACGGGAGTTTCTGATGATAAAGGGAATCTGATACTGATTTTTGTAATACAAGAGGGCTTGGGTAACCAACATATGGGGTAACTTATACCTAGTCAGGAACTCTGGTGGGGCAGTGGTTAAAGCACTCAGCTGCTAACCAAAAGGTCTGTGGTTCGAGCCCACTAGCCGCTCAGTGGGAGAATGATGTGGTAGTCTGCTTCTGTGAAGATTTACAGCCTTGGAAAACCTATGGGGCAGTTCTGCTCTGTCCTATAGGGTCACTATAAGTTGAGATTGACTTGATGGCCATGGGTTTTTTGGTTTATATCCAATCAAGTTCCAAACTATACTAGAATATGTTGTTACTAAAATCCTGTTAATTGAAATACAACTCGCCTTTTGCTTTTTAAAATTATATATTTCATCTTACATAGTACAAAGCATCATTTAATGGATGTATCAACTTGGAGACTATACTTTGGGTTCAAAAGTAGTTAAGAAAATAAAAGATGACTGCAAGTATGAAGAATTAGTTGAAGGTCCTTTACTAAGACATGTTCATGTCTGTCCCCTGCTAAACTAAAAAGTGGAAATCAAATTTAAGAAGCCAGACCGTATATCACCTCCACAGTACTTAGAGGCCAAATATGGTGCCCCAGAGTATATTGTCTGAACCACAACATTTCAAAACGTCTTATTTCTCTATTTTTCTTTAATAGTTTTGTTTGTGTAAATCGTGTATATTCCCAGAAGACAGTGACCACCTTGTATATTTCCTTAATATAAAACCTTCGCTCTACTTTCTTATTGACGATATTGCATTGTCCTGTTTCTCCAATTAATTCCCAGATTATGTCTTTTCTGGGTTC